ATGAGAGGGGGAGGGTCAGAGGGAGAAGCAGACTCCCCGCTGAGCAGGGAGCCCGATGCGGGACTCGATCCCGGGACTCCAGGATCATGACCTGAGCCGAAGGCAGTCGCTTAACCAACTGAGCCACCCAGGCGCCCGATTTATGTATTTTGAGAGAGAGAGAATGAGAGAGAGAGAGAGCACATGAGAGGGGGGAGGGCCAGAGGGAGAAGCAGGTTCCTCGCTGAGCAGGAAGCCTGATGCGGGACTCAATCCTGGGACTCCAGGATCATGACCTGAGCCGAAGGCAGTCGCTTAACCAACTGAGCCACCCAGGCACCCTAGACAAGACTTTAATATAATTTATTTTCCTACAAAATTCAAGGAGTATAATTTTCAGGAAACATTTGCAAAGTACCTTAGCAGATTTGAGAGATAGTTACTAAAGGAAAGGAGACTTTCTGTGTCAAGTCAATGAGTTCTTTCTCTTTAAATCCGCTCCCCTTGCTTAATGTTTTAGCACAGTCTCAGATAAATTTACTCTAGTAGTGGGTTTTAACCTTTTTGGGGTCCTAAATCTTTGCGAAACGGATATACGTTTACTAACTCAGATCCTAGAACACAGCAAGTTGTGCATATAATTTCATGATGATTTTATTTAATTCACAATACTTAATTTGGAGTATTATCAGCAGATCAAATTTGAGTTATTTTTGTTTTTAAAGATTGATTTATTTGAGAGAAGCACAAGCATGAGTAGGAGGGGTAGAAGGAGAGGGAAAGGGAATCTGAAGCCAACTCCTTGCTGAGCGCAGAACCCAACCTGGGGCTCTAGCTCATGATTGTGAGATCACAACCTGAGTCAAAACTGAGCTGGACACTTAACTGACTGTGCCACCCAGGCACCCCCAAATTTTGGGTTTGAGGAAGGAAGAAAAGTACACAAGCTGACAGGCTATACTTTCCTCTGTATTAGGCACGTCTTGTCTTTTTAGAAGTTTGGGGAGGAGGAACTGTAAAGTATCCTCCAAACTGAGAAGGGACTTTGAGATGAAAAAAATGAAGCGGGCAACTCCATACAGTTTACATAGTTTTATGCATGGTAACATACTGACAGGGAGGGATGGATGGATGATGATGTGGAGGGGTGCAGCTATTCTCTGCAAAGACCAGACCTTACTCTACAGATTTTATAGACCAAAGGGACATGTAGGGGAAGGCACTATAGTAAGATCAAAGGGTCTACATGTACCTGACAGCCAATCTTTAATTAGATCTTGTGGCACCGTCCCTGCCTCAGAAAGGGGAGAGAATGTGTTATCTTGAACAAATTTATGGAGGGCCGAAGCAAGCCTCCCCCTCCCCCTATCCTGGCCTCAGTGGGCATTGCTAAGCTACATATATTAATCTCCAAAGGTCTTGTAACCCTAGCCACCGATGTGAACAAGATCTCATTAGACTGCCCACATGAACAAGATGGAGTGCTAAGATGGATTCAGTATTGTTAGGTCTCTTATGTCTCATAGTGAGGCATTTGTTGTTAGGGTTCATCTTTTCCTTCCAAAGTCAAATTTCTTATCAAATGATATATAAGTCATCAAGGATTTTTGCCTTTTTGCCCATATAATAGATATTCTATACTTAAAAAAGTTTCCTGTATAGATTTTATTTACGAATAATAATGTTACCTAAAAACCTAATTAGGTATATTTTAAGATTGTGTTTGAGAGCGAGGGAGAGTGACGGGTGAGGGACAGAGGGAGAAGCAGACTCCTCACTGAGCAGGGAGCCTGATTCAGGGCTCCATCCTGGGACTCCGGGATCTTGACCTGAGCCCAAGGCAGATGGTTAACCAACTGAGCCACCCAGGCGCCCCCTAAATGGATATTAAGCAAGGATCTTAACAGGTTAGAAGACAGTACATGCTTTATTAAAGTTTTATTTTATTATTTTTTAAAGATTTTGTGAGAGAGCACAAGCAGGGGGAGTGGCAGGCAGAGGGAGAAGCAGGCTCCCCACTGAGTAAGGAGCCTGATGCGGGGCTGGATCCCAGGATCCTGGGATCATGACCTGAGCTGAAGGCAGACACTTAACCGACTGAGCCACCCAGGTGCTCCTTTATTAAGGTTTTAAAAATTAAAAAAGAACATCTTGATTTACTGTGGGGGAGAAAGGCCCCAAAGTGAAATGGACTAAGCTTTTGAGGAAATTAAAGACTGACTTTGTTTCAGGAATAAGGAATAAGGACCTTTTTGGCTTTTTACAAACCTAAAATATATTTGAGCTTTTTTTTTTTTTTTTAATACTTTGGGTAGCAAAGTTATATTAAACTTGATGCCCTTTAAAAGTGAAGCCATTTAAGGGCGCCTGGGTGGCTCAGTCGTTAAGGGTCTGCCTTCAGCTCAGGTCATGATCCCAGGTCCTGGGATCAAGCCCCGCATCGGGCTCCCTGCTCCGCGGGAAGCCTGCTTCTCTCTCTCTCCCGCTGCTTGTGTTCCCTCTCTCACTGTGTCTCTCTGTCAAATAAATAAAATCTTTAAAATAAAAGTGAAACCATTTAATTAGCATGAAATCTCAGGTTGCTAGCTACCAAAATGTCAGCATAATAATGTTCAGTTTTATGTGAAATTTTCCTTAGAAATTTTGGAAGGAACCTTAACATTCCCTGTTTTATCTGTTATTTACTAAGCCCTATTTTTCTGTGCCTCGGATGATTTGGTAACAAAGCATATTGACTAGTATTCTGCCACTAAATTTTATTTCAGTTTGAGTATCTGAAGAGTGTTACTATGCTTTATTGTGCTGAATATTCATAGCTGTGCATTCATTTGTAGAGTTCAATGTTGAAATAATTAGCACCAGAAATTAGGCCAGAACATTTTTTTTTTTAAGATTTTATTTATGAGAGAGAATGAGAACAAGCGATCACGTGCACGTAGGGGGAGGAGCCGAAGGAGAGGGACAAGCAGACTCTGTGCTGATAACTAAGCTCAACGCAGAACTCTTAACTCAGGACCCTGAGATCACGACCTGAGATGAAACCAAGAGTCAGATGACCAAGCAACTGAGCTACCCAGGCATGCCTAGAACATTTCATTTTGATAAGAGATTTTCCTTATGATAAAACTTGGTAGAAAGTTTACTTGATTTAGGATGCCTTATAAGTAGGGTGGCCATTATAATTTATTACCAAAAAAAACCCAGAATCTTGAGAGTGAATGGAGGGGCTAAATTCCTAGACAGGAATCTGGGATAGTAAGTTTGTACTGGGATGTAGGACCATCCTATTACTTAAATATTTTGACAAACCAAGACTTTAATCTTTTTGAATTAAAATTCAAGTTGTCCATTAGAGCTGCTTCTAGCTTTTATTGAAAGAAACCATTTAAAAATCTTGATTCACATGGAAATTTTCTATGGTCAAGTAAAGAGATTGGCAGATCCTCTCCCTGATAGAAAGCAACTATAAAGCTGGAGAAAATTGACAAAGGCGACTACGTCAACACTTTGGAAATCAACCAAAGGCCTACAACTACCTGAAAAGTGTTTGTCTTTAAAAATTGTTGTGTTTTGCATAAAAATGGAATTCGTGGCATTCTAGACTAAGCTGCTCTCCCTGCTTCCCCCAGCACAGTCAAAACAGACTTTTCTGTCAGGGCCTCTTGCTCATAAGGGAGATTATTCAGTTTGGAATGTTAGGTTATGTCCATGCCCAAAAGCACTGTCTGTGGAAATGTTGAAGCAGGCCGGCATGGAGGGCCAAAAACGCCACTGGTTTGAGGTTGTGGTCACGGGGAAAGCACATTCTGGGTAAGGCTGCACTTGTGAATCAGACCAGAGGGCCCAAGCACATTCCTGGCTGACCTTGAGGGTATGTGCATGTACATTAGAGACACAAAAGGACCCATGGAAAATAAAAGCTGGATTGGGCTTGAAAATGACCTAAACTTTGAGCTCATCTATCTATACACACAAATCCATCTCTGTGGACAGTCTGTCCAGTCGTTGCTCGACTACTGGGCTATGCAGACACAGGGTGACTCGTAGGAAGTGAGACTTAAAAATGAAAAGAATATATATTTAAGGAGCACGTGGGTGGCTCAGGTTATGATCTCAGGGTCCTGGGATCGAGTCCCACATTGGGCTTCTTGCTCATCGGGGAGTCTGCTTCCCTCCCCCCCAACCCCCCCACTCGTGTTCTCTCAAATGAATTTAGAAAAAACATATTTAAAAGAACAACTGAACAATGACATTAGTGGCTACACATCACCAGGAAGACAGATCTTACAGATTTAATCCAGGCTAGTTAGTAACAAAGAAACAAGCAAAAAAGCAACAAGAACATTTCATAATAAAATGGTCAGTACATAAAGAGGTATGTTGTATCAAGATGTAACAATTATAAATGTATATCCACCTAAAAATGGAGGTTCCAAATACATGAAGCAAAATGGACAGGATTGAAATGAGAACTAGGCAACCCAGTAGTTCAAAATTTTAATACCCCACTTTTAACAGTTGAATGAAAAACTGGACAGAAATCAGAACATATAGAAGACTTGAACAACATTTTCAGCCAAATTCCGTTTATAGAACACAATATCCAGTAAATGCAGAATATGCATTCTTTGCAAGCACATTGAACATTTTCTAGGATAGATCATATTCTCAACCACAAAACATTTTTCAGTAAACTTAAAATGTGACCAAGTGGCATTTATTCCAGGAAGACACATTTGGTTTAACATCCAAAAATCCACTGATAATTATGCTTTTTGTTCATTATTTAGTATAAATAGATGCAGAAGTATTTGGCAAAATCCAACACGTGTGATGAAGGAAAAAACCTTAAGTAGGAATAGAACTTCCCCAGTGTGATGAAGGGCATCTGCAAAAAACTACAGCTAACATCCTGTTTGGTGAAAGACAGACTACATACTTTTGCCCTAAGATTGTAAACAAGACAAGGATGTTTGCTTTTGTCACTTCTCTTCATCATTACTCTGGTTGGTCCAGGCAGTGCAAAAAGGAAAAAAAAAACCAACACGTTACTGATAGAAGTTAAAGAGTTCAATAAATGAAGAGACATTAAATGTTTATGGATTGAAGTCTCAATGTTGTCAAGATCTATAAACATGGTTCCTATCAAAATCCTAGTAGGCTTTTTGGGGTAGAAATTGATAAATTGTTCCTAAATTTTGTATGGAAATGTAAATGCTAGTCCTGATCTGTTCGATGGACTACTACTCAACAATAAAGAACCCCATGGTCTTGAGTGTCTGCGCCTCCCCCATTCATTTGTTAAAACCCTAATGAACAACCTAATAGTATTAGGAGGTGTGGCCCTGGGGAGTTTTTAGGTCATGAGGGTGGAGCCCTCATGAAAGGAATTAGTGCTCTTGGAAAAGAGACCCTACAGAGCTCCCTAGCCCCTTCCACCATGTGAGTATACAAGTTGGCAGCCTGTAACCTTGAAAGAGGGCTTTTACCAGAACCGGACCATGATGGCACCCTGATCTTGGACTTAAAGCCTCCGGAACTGTGAGAGTAAATTTCTATTGTTTGTAACCTACCTAGTCTGTGGTATTTTGTTATGTCAGCCTGAACTGAGACAAAAAGGGAATTGATAAATACAACATAGGTGTATCACAAAATATTTATATGGAGTGAAAGAAGTCACGTCAAAACAATACATGATGTGTGATTCCATTTTCATATAATTCTAGAAAATGCCAGCTGATCATTAGGAAAGAGATCAGTGGTTGTCTGGAAAAGGGGTCCAGTCGAAGGGGAGCGTTACAGTGGTAATTTTAGGGCTGAAGAATATATTCATTATTTGGATTATGGTGATAGTTTCACTGATACATCTGTATATCTGTATCTCAATTATATTGTAGGCTTTAAATATGTTCAGTTTATTTTATGTCAGTTATACCTCACTAAAGCTGTTTTTAAACATCTTTTTTCATATTTTTAGAAACATTTTTTTAATCCTTTATATACTTTTTTCTACATAGAGGTAATGGAAAAGGAAGTATGAACTGATTTTATATATTTTGTCCTTTTTATTTTTAAACCGTCTTGTCTGAACTATCCAATGAAGCATAACTAATATTTTTCTTAAGTTTTTTGCTAAAGCAAAATTGATATACACATTAAGAAGGTAATGCTGCTTCAGGAGATTTCCAAAATGATTTATAATTTTATAAATACCTCCTTAATTTCCATGTGGGTGCCCAGTGTTAAGCTTTGAACTAATTATTACAGTATTTACTTTTTTAAAGAAGTGAAGGGAAATAAATTATCTTTAATATATTCACAGGCAACACCAACTTTGCTTAGAAGATTTGGATCTCAGCTTATCAAGTCAACCGTTTTATCAGCCAGTACTTCTCTTCGAGTATTAGCCCTTGGTGGTGAAGCATTTCCATCATTGACTCTTCTCAAAAGCTGGAGAGGAATAGACAATAAAACACAAATATTTAATGTTTATGGTATCACAGAGGTATCAAGTTGGGCAACTTTTTACAGGATTCCAGAGCAGTTTCTTAATTCTACTTTGAAGTAAGGGTTTTAATTACTAAATAGACTAGAGAGAAACTGTATTTTTCCAGTGTCTTAACATTAACACTAATAATGTTTTTGATAGGCACTGCAGTAATAATTTTAGAAACACTATTTTACCTAGAATTTTTTTTTTTTCAAAGACCCTGTTTTTATTTGACAGAGACAACGAGAGAGGGAACACAAGCAGGGGGAGTGGGAGAGGGAGAAGCAGGCTTCCCATGGAGCAGGGAGCCCGATGCGGGGCTCGATCCCAGGGTCCTGGGATCATGACCTGAGCCGAAGGCAGACACCCAACGACTGAGCCACCCAGGCGCCCCTAGAATTTTTATTTTTTAAATATTTTTAGAGGGAGGGTGGGGGAGGGCACAGGGAGAGGGAGAGAGAATCTTTTTTTTTTTTTTAAAGATTTATTTGAGAGAGAAATCGAGCAAGAGAGAGAGCACGAGGGGTGGTGGGCAGAGGGAGAAAGAGAAACAGGCTTCCCACTGAGCAGCGAGCCCAATGTGGGGCTTAGTCCCAGGACTCCAGGATCATGACCTGAGCCACCCGGGTGCCCCCGGAGAGAGAGAATCTTAAGCAGGCTCCATGCCCAGCACGGAGCTCAATCTCTCAACCCTGAGATCATGACCTGAGCCGAAATCGAGTCAGTCGCTTAACTAATTTGAGCAACCCAGGCGCCCCTGTTTTATCTAAAACTTTAAGCTGGGGATCCAAAACCTTTCTTATAACTGGTGCTACAGATCCTGCTATAACTTTTTTGTGACTAAAGAAAAATAAATAACCTATAATAACCTTTCCACCTAACCTTTTCCTCTTGGCAGTCTTTGAATTATAACATAACCAAAACTTTTTTTCTTTATTTGGTATGATGTGATTTAAATACATTGGAAAATCTCCTATTCAAATGAAAAATTTAAATGTGGTTTGGGTTGTTGTGTTTTCATAGATCTGAATTGCCGGTACCACTGGGATTTCCACTGCTTGGAACAGTAGTTGAAGTCAGAGATACTAATGGTTTCACAATTCAGGAAGGTCGTGGCCAAGTATTTTTAGGTGGTTTTACCTTTGTTGATTGGGAATATCTTTTTTTTCTCCCCCCAAGAAAATAATCTGTTTAATTTTATTCTTTGATCAGTTTGTCTTATGTCTGGTATTCTTTTCAATGATGATAATTTTTAAATTTCATTCTCACAGTCATGAAACATTTAATATGTTACCATAATTATTTCAGATAACAATGTTTGATACCCTTAGGGAAAATATAAAAGTAATGTAAAAATTGCAAGTTGGATCTTTATATTTATAGCCAAAATTCTCTATAATCAGTATTCTAAATTTTTTTAATCACACATATGTTTTTAGAAATCTTGTTTTATTTATTTTACTGAGGTTATTGTATTTAATTTTACCAGGTAACATTAAAAGTGTGCTGCCCCCTTTCCTTATAAATATTCAAAATGTGAAACTTAGTAACTGAACTTTTGAAGATGTTCTTGATTTGATGGTTTTTAATATATTTTCCGTGGATTTTTTTTTTTTTATTACACTGGTGTTTATATCTTGTGAAGGTGGCAGAAACAGAGTATGTTTTCTTGATGATGAAATGACAGTACCACTTGGCATGATGCGAGCCACAGGAGACTTGGTGATGGTGAAAGATGGACAGATGTTTTTCTTGGGACGAAAGGACAGTCAGATCAAACGACATGGCAAACGTCTTAACATTGAACTTGTGCAACAGGTAGAACTATTTAAATACTAAGTGTCTACTACATATGTAGGTTTTAGAGGTAGCCTCTACCAGTTTTCTGTGCCAGCATTCTCTATTAACGTTATTTAAACCTAAGATTTTTTGTATTAATGATGGATTACAATAATAGGTGTGGGTTATTCAGTGTGCCCTTATTCCCAGCATGAAGAAAGAGTTGTTTTTTAAGTAAGTGACAGAATGGATTTTGATAACTGTGAAAATAATGGTTTACTTTGCTCTGGGAGCAATTATTTTTGAAAAACATGAAGAACCCAGTGTGCTGCTAATAGCAGTAGTAGCAGTTGATTTTTTTTTCTTTAAGTGTCTAGTTATTTTACATTTTAATTTGACTGTGTTGATTTCAGACATGAGAAGTTTGAGCATTTATGAAGTTTGCTTTTAAATGTCCTCTGACAAACTGGGATAATTTCTCTCATAGGTTGCTGAAGGACTTCAGCAAGTGGAGTCTTGTGCAGTTACATGGTATAATCAGGAAAAATTAATTCTGTTCTTGGTGTCCAAAAATGATTTAGTAAAGGAATACATCTTTAAAGAACTGCAGAAGCATCTTCCAAGTCATGCAATTCCAGATGAACTTTTGTTGATTGATTCTCTACCATTTACATCTCATGGTAAAATCATTTGAAGCAGATATGTTTCAGTGCCAAATGAATACTAATCCATAACTAGTTTAAAGGCCTTTTAAATCCTTATTATTCTAAGTAATATTAGCATATATTGTGGTAGACCTCTATTAAGTGCTTTGTATAATTAACTCATTTTATCTCTAGAAAATCCTGTGAGTAGGTAATATAATTCCCATTTACAGATATGGAAAATAAGGCTTAAAGAGGTTAAGTAATTTTCACAAAATCGCTGGTTAATGGTAGAGTTGAAATTCTAAGACTTTTTGATTTTAAAACATAATGTTCTTAATAACCATATTGCCTTCCCAGTTTCATCTTTATTTAATATTTACATCAAAATGCAGTAATTGTTCAGTTAGTAGGACCATTTTTTAACTCTTTAAATAAAGTAAACATTAGCTCTTTCTTACTACCCATTACATTCTTGGTAGCGTGGGCTTACATTCTTTAGAATTGATTATCTTTCACAAACTATAAGATTTCAAACTTTTACACTGAAAAATGTGTGGATTCTTATGACTAATGAAGATAGAAAGGGTTTGAACTGAAATTTTAAAATAATTTCTCTTTTTAGGCAAAATTGATGTTTCAGAGTTAAACAAGATATATTTAAACTATTTAAACTTGAAGTCTGAGTGCAAACTCAATGGAAAAGAGGAACTCTGGGGAAAATTACAGTATTTGTGGAAGGTATAACTTTTAAGATACAAATTTGTTATAAAGAAGTTATGTTATATCTTTTGGGACTATTAACATCCTAATATGGCTGATAGTGTTTTCTAAGAATGTTATTGATGCCCAAATGTTAAGTAATGTTAAGTAATATACCGTTGTTTTTTCAATTTGTATTAAAATAGGATTAGGTTCTCTACTGTAAAATTAAGCTCCCCATAAAGAAATTTATTAGAAGTGAGGTAGACAGGGATGCCTGGGTGACTCCGTCGGTTAAGCCTCTGCCTTCGGCTCAGGTCATGACCCCAGGGTCCCAGGATCGAGCCCCACATCAGGCTTCCTGCTCAGTGGGGAGCCTGCTTCTCCCTCTGCCTGCTGTCCCTGCTCTCTTCACTCACTCTCTCTCTCTCTGACAAATAAATAAATAAAATCTTTAAAAAACAAACAAAAATAAGTGAGGTAGACATAAAAGGCACAGGTAGACAAGACCCATCTTGACATAACTTTTCCCCAATGGGGCAGTGGAGTACGGTGCTTGTCAGAGTTGAGAAAAATGGCCAAATATTGCTTTACTACAATCTGTGATATAAGGGCTTATGTCATTATTCCTGAGGAACTTGCAGTAACAACAGATCTTCCTCAATTTAAAATGGGATTACATCTGGATAAACCCATTGTAAGTTGAAAATTTCATAGTCAAAATGCATGTAATACAACTACCGAACATTGTAGCTTAGCCTAGCCTACCTTAAATGTGCTCAGAACACTTATATTAGCTTACAGTTGGGCAAAAACATCTGACACAAAGCCTATTTTATAATAAATTGTTGAATATCTCAGGTAATTTATTGAATACTGTACTGAAAGTGAAAAACAGAATGGTTGTGTAGGTACAGAATGGTTACAAGTATATCAGTTGTTTACTCTTGTGATCACGTGGCTGACTGGGAGCTGTGGCTGGCTGTTCCTGCCCAGCATCAGGAGATCTATGTTGCTTGACTGGGAAAAGATCAGAATTTGAAGTACAGTTTCCATTGAATGCATATTGTTTTCACACCATTGTGAAGTTAAAAAATCTTAAGGGGTGCTAAGCATCTGACTCTTGATTTAGGCTCAGGTCTTGATCTCAGGGTCATCAATTCAAGCCCTGCATTGGGCTCTACACTGGGTATGGAGCCTACTTCAACAACAACAACTTAAGTCAAATCATTTTAAGTTGGGGACTGTTTGCATATATAGAAATATGTATAGCAAACAATTTAAAAAATTTATTTGGAGGGGCGCTTGGGTGGCTCAGTCGGTTAAGTGTCTGCCTTTGGCTCAGGTTGTGATCCAGGGGTCCTGGGATTGAGTCCCCTATTGGGCTTCCTGCTCGGCGGGGAGCCTGCTTCTCCCTCTCCCTTTGCTCCTCCCCCCATGTTCTCTCTCTCTCTTTCTCTCTCTCAAATAATCTTTAAAAAAATAAAAAAATTTATTTTGAAATACGTATATATTACAACCATAGGTCAGTACAGTTTTTCTTAGATAAAATGTGGAGCTTTCTGAAGGTTCTGAAGAGAGGATGTAATTGTATAGTCTTGTTTGAAAGTAAAGGATAGCTTGATAAGTCTCACTTCATTCTTAGATTCTTGGAATATAATTTTGATTTAGTGAAGCGAATGAATATAAATACTGTTCCCATATTATAGAAATATCAGATATTAGTATTTTGTGGAGTTTATAATTAGTAAATCATATTTTTATAATTCCACTTGCTATTTTATGGGTAGGAAAAGTGCTCTAAAGGGAAATATTACTTGTAGTTTTAGAGTGAGTTTGTGACAAAATTGGTAGCATAGTGATCGTCTCCTTTACTAAAAAGAAAATACCTTTAAAGTTTATTTTAATTATCAAAATATTTATTTTGTGTATCTTGTTCATATCATTAATGTAAGTACTATGCTGTATATATTACCTATAAATTGGTTGAATTGTTTTGGTTTTAGTCCTTTACTTCACCGTATTTCTCCCTTTTCTCATCTATAGTCTATTCTGAATCTCTCAGAAGATCCTTTGAAGGTTCCTGATGAGTCACTCTTTTTAAATAGTGGTGGAGATTCCTTAAAGTCCATACGGCTCCTCAATGAGATTGAGAAACTAGTTGGCACATCAGTACCTGGGCTTCTGGAAATTATTCTAAGCAGTTCCATTTTAGAGATTTACAATCACGTCCTTCAAACAGTGTTTTCAGATGAAGATCTGGTATTTAGCAAGAATTATGCCACAAAAAGAAAATTCAGCAACATTAATCAAGAAGAAACCAGTGGAAAATCTTTACATCAGAAATCTGTTATGACATTAAGTTGTGACAACGAGCTAACTGCTTTTACTGCAGTGAGCAGAGGGAGTCAGATTTTGTCACTGAATACTAAATTTTTAACTAAGTTAGGACTTTGCTCTTCAGCTCATTCTTCTGAATTAATTTCACAGACTAATATTCAAAATGTGAAAAGCTTAAATCCTCCAGCTCTTACTGGCAAGTCAAAAGATCCATCCCATGTTGCAGAAGTTTCTGAAGAGGGAACATGTGTAACAGCAGCCAAGAAAATGGAGCTACACGTGAGATGGAAGTCAGACACAGGCAAATGCGTGGATGCTTCACCTCTAGTTGTAATCCCCGCTATTGATAAGTCATCCACAACTGTGTACATTGGCTCCCATTCTCACAGAATGATGGCAATTGACCTTCACTCTGGGAAGGTGAAATGGGAACAGATTTTGGGAGATCGAATTGAATCCTCAGCGTGTGTATCTAAGTGTGGAAACTTTATTGTAGTAGGTAAGTTTCTGAATTTGAGGTTTATAGAGTTAAACTTAATTACCATATGATAATGCTAGTACAAGCAAATTAAATTTAAAAACTTATGTATGGTGGGTTTGGTGGTTGTTAAAGAGTAATGGTTGGGGCGCCTGGGTGGCTTAGTCGTTAAGTGTTTGCCTTCGGCTCAGGTCATGATTCCGGGGTGCTGGGATTGAGCCCCGCGTCAGGCTCCCTGTTCTGTAGGAAGCCTGCTTCTCCCTCTCCTGCTCCCCCTGTTTGTGTTCCCTCTCCGGCTCTCTCTCTGTCAAATAAATAAAGTCTTTAAAAAAAAAAAAATAATGGTTACCCACATGCTAACTCACAGTGTGGGCCTTGGGTCCTAGTCTCTGGATTTGAGCCTAGCTCTAAAACTTTTCTCAGCTCTGTGAACTTTGACAAGTTGCTGAAACCTCTTAGGACCTCATGTGTTCTTATGAGTATATGGGTATAATAAATAAAACATGTTGCACCGTAAATTGTCCCAAAACCTAATGGTTTAGATTAAGTAACAAACACGTACCAGTTTCTGAGGTCAGAAAGGAGCAGCTTAGCTGGAAGTCCTGGTTCAGGGTTTCCCATGTGGCTGCAGTCATCTGAAGGCTTGACTTGGGCTAGAAAATCTACTTCCAGGACAGCTGACTCATACTGTGGCCAGCAGAAGGCTTCAGTTCCGAGCTGGTTCGAGCTGGGACCGGAAGCTTTCCAGACTTTGTTGTCATGTGGGCCTCACAACCTTGAGTGTCCTTACAACCTGGCAGCTAACTTCCCTCAGAGTGAGTGCTCTGAGAGGTGGAGGGAGGGGGAGAGGAGGAATGCAGTACTTTTATGCCTTAGTCTCCAAAGTTGCGTACCATCATTTTTGCTTCTGTTCATTAGAAGCACATCATTGAGCCTGGCCTATACTCAAGGGGAGGGGAATTTAGCCTCCAGCTCTTGAAAGGAAGAGTATCAGAGAATTTGTGGACAGATTTTAAAACCACTACAATCATCATAGAGCTTTCTTTTTTTTTTAGTTTCTTATTTTAATTCCAGTATGGTTAACATAGTGTTACATTAGTTTCAGGTGTACAATATAGTGACTCAGCAATTCTATACATTAGTCAGTGCTTATCATGACAAGTGTCTTCTTTAATCCCCATCACCTGTTTCACCCCAACCATTAGTTTGTTCTCTAGAGTTAACTGTCTGTTTCTTGGTTTGTCTCTCCACCCCCCACCCCGCCACCCTCATTTGTTTGGTTTCTTAAATTCCACATACATCATTGAGCTTTGGAGAAGGTGAAGTGAGATCATTGCTTATGAATCCTTTGATACGTTGCAAGGTACTGACTCATTAAGTGTTAGCTACCAGCTGCTACTCAGTTTCACTAAGGTATGTGACTTTAAGAATGTGGGGTCCAGGTGTAATGCCTCTCCTTGACTACCATTCTCTTTACTTCCTCTGCTACATAAAGTTTTACTTTATCTGCTTATCGAATCTTGTGTAAAGCGGTTAGGAGTATGTCTCCCTACTTGTGGTATCCTAGCTGGTGTCTACTTGAATCTGAGTTTGATCCTTCCCTCTTGCCCATGTACATTTTGAAACATATGCTACAGGAAACTTTTAGTGATCCGTGTGCTCACACGTGTCATTCCCATCCTGAAAGTCAGCTCATGTAAGTTACTGTTTGTAGCCCAAGAGTCAAGGCCTGTGGCACATGGTGGTCACTTAGTACTTCAAACATTTTTTTCTAAGATTTTCTTTATTTGAGAGGGAGAGCAAGCATGAGCAGGGGGAGGGGCAGAGGGAGATGCAGATTCCGTGCTGAGCAGGAAGCCCGACCTGGGGCTTTATCCCAGGACCTGAGATCATGACTTGAGCCAAAGTCGGAGGTTTAACTGACTTCAGCCACCCAGGTGCCCCAACATTTTTAAATTAAGATATAATTTACATACAGTAAAACTTACCCTCTTTATAGCTCTGTGTTTTGACAGATGTGTACTGTCACGTAAGCACTACTACAATCAAGAGTTCATTACTCAAAAGGTTCTGTGTCACTCTGTAGTCATCCCTCCTCCTACTCCTAACCCCAGGCAACCGCTGATCTGTTTTCTGTCCCTCTAGTTTTGCTTTTTCTAGTTTTTGCTTTTGAGTCTGGCTTCTTTTACTTAATATGTGTTTGGATTCATCCATATTGTTGCATGTATCAACAGGCTTGTTTTTTTTTGAGCAAGAGAGAGCCCATGTGAGCCGGGGTGGGGGCATGGTAGAGAGGCAGGCATGGGGCTCAGTCTCACAGTCCTGAGATCAATACCTGAGCCTAAATCAAGAATGGGACGCCCCACTGACTGAGCCACCTAGGCACCCCAAGAGGTTTTTTTTTTATTGCTGGAAGTATTCTGTTGTGTGGATATACCATATTTTGTCCATTCACATGTGGGTTATTTCCAGTTTTTTTTCCCCCCCAGTTTTTGATAATTATGAATAAGACTACTGTAGCATTTGTGAATAGGATCTTGTGTGAATATAAGTTTTTCACTTGGGTCAGTACTTAGGAGGTGGAGATTATACAGTAAGCATAATTTTAGTAAAAAATGCCCAAAATGTTTTCCAAGTTGACTGATCCACTTTGCATTACCACCATCAATATGTGAGAGGTCGTTCCACATCCTTGCTAACACCTGGCATGGTGAATTTGAAAATATTTTTATTTTAGCCATTCAGATTGTTATGGTGTGGTATTTCATTATGGTTTTAATTTGCATTTCCTTAGTGACTAATGATGTTTCTTTTTATGAACTTAATTGCCATCTGTGTATCCTCTATGACCTGTCTCTTCAGATTTTTTGCCTAGTTTTTTGTTACGTTTGTTTTCTTATTGGGTTCTGAGAATATTATGTATTCTGGATACAAGTCCCTTATCAGATAGATGTTTTGCATATTTTCTTCTAGTCTGTGGCTTTTCCCGCCCCCCTTTCTTTCGTTAACATCATGTCTTTTGAAGAGAAGTTCTTAATTTTATTAAAAAAAATTTTTTTTAAAGATTTTATTTTTATTTATTTGACAGAGAGACAGCGAGAGAGGGAACACAAGCAGGGAGAGTGGGAGAGGGAGAAGCAGGCTTCCTGCCAAGCAGGGAGCCCGATGCAGGGCTCCATCCCAGGACTCTGGGATCACGACCTGAGCTGAAGGCAGACACTTATCGACTGAGCCACCCAGGCACCCGAGAAGTTCTTAATTTTATTTTTTTTTCCAGATTTTTTATTTTTTTTAATTTATTTTATTTTATTTATTTGAGAGAGAGAATGAGAGAGAGCACGAGAGGGAAGAGGGTCAGAGGGAGAAGCAGACTCCCCGCTGAGCAGGGAGCCCGATGTGGGACTCCAGGATCATGACCTGAGCCGAAGGCAGTTGCTTAACCAATTGAGCCACCCAGGCGCCCAAAGTTCTTAATTTTAATGAAATCCAGTTTGTTATTTATTTTCTTTTATGGACCATGCTTTTGATGTTCTATCCAAGAAATTTTTGCCAAACCCAACGTCACAAAGATTTCCTTCTGGAAATGAACTGAACTGAAAGAAATTTTTCATTACCCAGCTGAGTCGTGGGGTACTGCACTGTGTAGGACATTTCTCTTCACCATCACTAAGCAGACCACTTTCTTGCTACTAAGTAGTAACTGCTCGAAAGAAAACAGCACCACAGTTATTCTGGAATTGGGCCTTAAGGGAGCAGCTGTGGTAATAAGCATAGGCAGAGCCGAGGAGAGAATGGTGGGCCAGTGCCCAAAGTCAACTTCCCCTGATTTACATGCACTGCAGGGAACTTGAGTGATCTTCACTTTGTAGGTTTTGAGCATTCCTGCTTCCCCCTGGGTTACTCTGGCTGCCCGGAGTTAGGGACTGCTGCCCTAGCCTCCCATTCATTGCAGAAGTTTGGGAGAAGCAGTCTTGCTGTAGTAAAGTACATGGGCTCTGGAGCTTGACTTCTTGGATTCAGTCCTCGCTCTGCCACGTCAGCTGGATAGTTTTACCCTAGTAACTTAAGCTCTCTGTGCTTCCTTTTGTCATCTGTAAAATGCAAATATAATAGCACTTGCCTCACTGGGAGGATTCCATGAATTAATAGATGTAAAATTCTTAGAACACTTCACAAGGTAAAAGCTCAGTGAAGGCTGGCTATTGTTAACGTTAGCATTTCTTGAACACCTTGTATGCACTGGGTACTTATCCATATTATCTTAATTATCGCATTAAGGAGTAGATGTATCCACATGCCGCAGAAAAATAATCTGAGGCTCAGTGATGCTGGGTAATTTCCCCAGGATGGCCATGAAGAGATTTGATTCTGGGTCTGTCAAAGCCTCTCTCCACTGCAGTGGAGAGTGTTTTCTCAGTAGTGAAGCACTTTAGGGTACTTTAAACAAAATAAGGTATACCTACTATAAGTATTTTTTATAAGTGGTTACTGTTTGGTTTCTGCTTTACATTGCTGAAATTTAAATCTGAGCTGAACACAGATGTACACGTGAAGAGCATCAAATATAAATTGTCATGATTTAGGCTAAAGAATTATTTTCCAGTGACATATTTAAATCTCATCTTTTCTATTTTGTTTCCCAACAGGCTGTTATAATGGATTAGTCTATGTTCTGAAAAGTAATAGTGGAGAAAAATACTGGATGTTTCCTACTGAGGATGCTGTCAAAAGCTCCGCAACCGTGGATCCAACCACAGGACTCCTTTACATTGGATCTCACGACCAGCATGCATATGCACTGGACATTTATGTAAGAACTCACCTCATCAGTTTCTTATCATAAGCTTAGAAGAGTGTGAAACTGTCAGGTGCTCTTGACTAAGGGAGCAGATATTAACTATTCCCTAAGTTTAGCATTGTGGTCTGGGAAGAATGAGTTAATTAACAGTCTTAATATCTGAAGACATTTTTAACTTCCTAACCAGATTTTCACAGATAAATTTGCTACTCAGAGTTCTTAAATATAAAGAACTTAGAATACTGTCTTGACAATAGAAAAGAGTCACAAAGGAAAATATCAGTAAGACCTGATAAGTTGGGGAAATAATTTGAAGCAAATGTGATGGTTAAAAATAATTGATAAGAATAAATGGAAATAAAGAACAAAAACAAATTATAAAGACCCAGATGGAAAAAAAACAAGAGATATAAACATAAAAGACCCCAAAGAAGAAATGCCTAGTAAATATATTTAAATGTTTCATACCTTTAATAATCAAAGGAATGAAAATTTAAAACTATGTAATGAAGAAACAGATAGTATTAGATCCGAATAGTATGGTAAATGCTGGTGAGAGTAGGGGGAGGTTGTAACTAGTGAAGCCTCTGAGGAAAACAGATTGGCCACAGGTAACTTTCATACCCCCCCTTTTTTTTTTAGATTTTATTCATTTATTTGACAGTGCAAGCCAGGGGGAGGGGCAGAGGGAGAAGCAGGCTCCCGGCTGATCCCAAGACCCTGAGATCATGACCCGAGCCGAAGGCAGACGCTTAACTGACTGAGCCATGCAGGTGCCCCTCATATCCTTTGATTAAGTAAAATTTTTCTATCCTGGCAAACCAATCAGAGACATGGACACGTATTTACACCAAGATGTCTATTCCTAAGTTGTTCATAATACCAGGAAATTAGTTCTAAACAATTTTCAGTGATAAATTATTTTATCTTCAAATGGGATATTATGCGTTAAAGTAATATCTGAAGAATTTTACCAAATAAGTGAGCTAAAGTAGATACCAAGTAGGGGGGCCTGGATGGCTCAGTCAGTTAAGCGTCTGCCTTCAGCCAGGTCATGGTCCCAGGGTCCTGGGATTGAGCCCCACCGTTGGGCTCCCTGCTCAGTGGGGAGTTTGCTTCTCTCTCTCCCTCTGCTCCTCCTCCCTGCTTGTTCTCTTTCTGTCTCTCAAATAAATAAAATCTTAAAAAAAAATTAGATACCAAGTATATATTCAGAATGATCTCAACTATATTGTGTATGTCCCAAAAAGATCAAAAGGGAAAATGCTAAACTATTAACAGTGGTTGTCTCTGGGTGGACCTTGTCTTCTTTATACTAACTTGAATCTCTACAAGTAGCCTATATTACTTTTATACTAAGAATAAAAAGCTACATTAACTAAATGTAGTATCATGAGGATTAGGACATGTAGATTTATTAACCACCAACAGAAACCAATTAATTTGCTTTCTTATTTGCAGAAAAAGAAGTGTGTTTGGAAGTTAAAATGTGGAGGAACGGTCTTTTCTTCCCCTTGTTTGAGCCTGATTCCACAACATTTGTATGTGGCTACACTGGGAGGACATTTATTGGCTATAAATCCTGTAGGCATAAAATATGTATTGATTTTATTATCTATTTTTTAAATGTTTTATTTTTGCAATTTGAAAGTTTTTAATTAGATATAGCCGAGCTCTTACTGAACCAGAACTCATTAAAAATGATTGACATGAAGTCTAGAAAGATGAGAAAATAGAAGTTCTGTGTGTGTGTGTCTTTTATGTTTTTTAAGTTGGCAGAATTTTCTCAATGATATTCGAACTTAGAATGGTTTGAGGATAGATCTTATATACTAATTATTTCCTGGTTTTATTGTAAGTTTTTATCTCAGCTCTCATAAAGAGCACTAATTTTATAGCTGGGTATATGTACTAGCTTCATTTATGACATCAGCATACCATTATAGCTTATTCTGATGTTTATAGCTTTGCCTCTGGGAGATATATAAGTTTGTTTTATAAAGGGTAATTGATTAGTAGAATGACTTAAATGCTGTGAATTGCTTTTTGCCCATGGCAGGCTACTGGGAACAGAGTTTGGAAACATTCCTGTGGAAAACCACTGTTTTCTTCTCCACGGTGTTGCCTGCAGTATGTTTGTATTGGCTGTGTGGATGGGAATTTACTCTGCTTTACTCACTTTGGAGAACAGGTGAAAAATTTCTGGTTCTATTTTATGTATCTTTTTCCAAGTCATGATAGTTGGTGACAACTAAAGTAAAATTTTATAAACATCATCATTCAACTCAGTGTTGAATACTGGTTTGATTTTAACTGTCAAACAGTGGGTTTCTTAATTTTTGCATGATGGGATAGTAGATTGAAGAGTCTACTCAAGCATTGTTCTACTTGTGCCATGCCCTCCTCTAATTTTAAAACCTTTACCAGCTTTTAGCCAATTTTATTATAACTTCTGTTGAGGTTTTGAACATTTAAAGAAGCCCCTGCTTTTTCTATGAAAATGGAAATAGGTTGCATAACCCAAATTGCATTGAATGGACGTCCCATCTGCAACTTCATGATCGGCAGGGAGGCGTCTTCTGGGCAGCATGAGATCTTTTTTGTTGGGAGCATCATCTCCACTTGTGTATCCACAGGCCACGGTCACTGCTAGCACAGCTGGTGCTGGGTGTGTGATCTGGGGGGTTGGTGGTCTTGAGCGCACAAGTTCCAACCTGAGTTAGCCCATTCATGGCCAAGTGGATTCTGGTGCTTTTCATTCTACTTTCAGCCCTCATAGCCTAGCACTTCCTCTTGCTGTGCGACAATTACTTTGTGATGAAATCTTTTATTATAATAGTTCACTTACTATTTTATTTATAAAATAGTTTGAATATATTCTCACCTTAGATTCCTAAGAAGGAAGAAGAGGCTTTTTTTTTTTTTTTTTTTTGGATGAACCATAGAAAGATGAAAGTGATTTTGTCCAAGTGAGGGACACAATTAGGAGTACAAATCCTATTTCGTGAAGATGTCCACTGACTTCATTTTGTTTTTCTTATGCTGCTGTTACTGTGCATTTGCAAACATGGTCTTCACTTCACTTAGGCCTCCTTGTCTTTTCTTCAAAATATTGGCTGACAGGTTTGTCTGTGGTAGCTTTAAAATAAGCAGATAGTCTATATCCACAGGGCAAACCCACAACTCCTAGCTTTTTGTTTAGACTTTTCATTTCAATTTTTGCACAGAAACTCTTCCTTTCAGCCCACTTCTTTTTCCTTACAATTGGGAGAATAGAATAAGATACAGTTTTTAATTAGATACATTGAAAACTGAGTGCAGTTTTGTCTTTGAACTTTGCATCTCTAAACATAGTAGTAGCTCCTCCTTGAATGGGGTTCAAAATTAATTTTATTTCATTCTGTTGTGCATAGCAGTGACTCATGTAATAAGACTCCATTGTATTTTGTTCTAGACTTTACCCCTGGGACAGAAGTCTAATTTGAGAATGCTTTTCAGAAGAAGCCATTATTTCCTGTGTAGTTCAGTAGCCTTCACCGCTTACATTTGTGTTAAGAACAGAGCTTCACTATACAGGAGAATTGACATTAGATGAATGAATTATTTTTGTCTTTATCATCCTTCAGGTTTGGCAGTTCTCTACCAGTGAACCAATCTTTTCATCCCCATGTGCCTCAGCATCAGAGCAAGAAATATTTTTTGGTTCCCATGATTGCTTTATCTACTGTTGTAATATGAAAGGTCACCTCCAGTGGAAATTTGAAACTACTTCACAGGTGTATGCAACACCGTTTGCTTTCCATTACCAAGAAGGTAACAATGAAATGTTGCTGGCAGCAGCATCTACTGATGGGAAACTGTGGATCTTGGAATCTAAGAGTGGACAATTGCAAAGTGTATATGAACTTCCTGGGGAAGTTTTCTCTTCTCCTGTGGTCTGGGAATCAATGCTTCTTATTGGATGCAGAAATAATTATGTTTATTGTCTGGATTTGTTGGGTGGCTATCAAATATAATCAAGTTCAGTCCTTATTGGATTATCTGAGACATCTGAAAATATTATAGAGCATTTGGATAGTCTTATTTTATATTAAAGATTATATTTTGCCTAAGAAACTTGTCTTTATTGGAGAATGATCATATTTTACTTCCTGTAGGAGCAACAAATGCTTTTAAAAGGTATTATAGGACAAAAAAGATCAATTTATTTAGTACCACTTTCTTTTAATTTCTTTGAATTAGGCTACAGATATTCTACTTTGGGTTTTTTTTTTTTCTTTTTTCTTTTTCATAGAAGACTTCTGTGAAAAAGAAGATCAGAATATACCTGGTGGGTTAAAAACTTAGTCCATGATGTTATGCACCATTTACCTATTTACAGTGAGATTCGTAACAAAAGGTTCTCAAAGGTAGGATCTTTTTGTCAAATTAGGTTCCTTATTTAGTATTTTTAAATGAACAAAATACCAGTATTATATCTATAGATCTGTCTCTTCTCATAGTAGAGTTTTAAGTTGATTTACCCTCTTTTTTCAATTTTTTGATACACAAAAGTTAGTGAATATTTTTGTACCTCTGTTTCTCAATTTATTAGATTTTGTGGTTGTAGGTCTCTTTGTTCACTGGCTTGGTGGAAGGGAACACAAAGAAAACCAGGAAGGGAAAAAACCCTATATACTCTTAAGTATCCTGATTTCTCATAATATGTATGGTTTGGGGCTGGAGCTGCTTCTCCAGTCCCAGAGCACTTTGCTCATAGCTGCATTTGCCTGGCACGAAGTTGCCCCTAGTGAACTGTACCTCCTCCCAGGAGCTATGCCCTTTCTGCATCCTCATTCTCTTGTACTTGGACTTAGTCCGTGGTTTGCTTTAGCCAATAGAGTGCAGTGGAGGTGACACTATTGTCACTTCTGAGCCTAAGCTTTAAGAAGTCCTGGCAGCTTCTGCTTTCATGGGATGCCTGAGCTGCCACCTAAAATCTGGCGGCCAGATGGAAAGGCATGTGGGAAGGGAGGGGCCCTGACACTGTGCTATAAAACCTGAGAAAGCCAGATCACAGGGACAGGTGAAGCCACACACATTTGCCTTCGGCATCCCAGCCAACCCCCAGCTTTTCAGGCTATCCTGATGCCAGATGTTTAATTCCTCACTCACAGGATCCTGAGAAATAATAAAATGGCAGTTGTTTCAAGCCACTAAGTTTTAGGGTAGTATATTAGGGTAGTAAGTTTTGGGTGGTAGTAGTGAAGATTACTGGAACAGAAGTTACGTGTTGTTCTTTCCCACATCACTTAAATTACTCAAATCGATGGACAGATGTCTCAGTTTTCTTTGAAATTTCATGATCTAGTTCAGGTAATAAAGCAGTTGTTTTTTTTTTTTTTCTAGGATATTAGGAATTTAGCCACTAGTGGTAGTAGTAACTATTTAGGGCATATTACATCAGACACTTGTGCTAAAGCACTTAAAGTAACAAAAATGTTTCCTATTGTTTACCTTCCCTTCCTCTCTACTAGAAAATTGATACTATGTTATCAATTTCATTTGTCCATTTATTCTTCAGTAAAGTCCCAAATATCAAACATGCCAGAATTCTTAGCTGCAAGCTATAGAAATCAACTTAGGCTATTTTAAGCAGAAGAGAATTTTTTTTTTTAGGATTTTGAGAGAGCGAGCACGAGCGAGGGGGAGAGGGAGAAGCAGACTCCCCACTGAGCAGGGAGCCCGATGCGGGACTCGATCCCAGGACCCTGGGATCATGACCTGAGCCGAAGGCAGATGCTCAACTGACCCACCCAGGCGCCCCTAAGCAGAAAAGAATTTTTAAAAAAGAATACTGAATAGCTTAGAGAATTGGGACAGGGCTAGAGCTCTACAGCCAGGAACAATTATGCCTGAAATCACCATGACTTTGGCCTGGGGAAGACACAAGCTGCTGTCCTTGAAGCTCTAAATGCTCTACTAACACTAGACACCGTTCCCCGCCACTGCCAGACTTCACACAGAGTTGAATTGGGAGATAAATGCAGAGTCTCTTCCAGTTTCAAGTGAAACAGGTTCCGTGCCCATGAGAGAGTACAGCAAAGCACGTATCAGGCATTTCATCTGGGGTGGTGGGAGGGGAGGGCAAGACCCATGAGCTGGGAGATTTCCCCAAACCTAGAAAGGGGACTGAGGTACAGACTGGCTAAAAGAAGAGAGCATCTTCTGCCAAGTTTTAGATCAGTGCTGCTTAAATCTTAACGTGTATTAACCACCTGCAGCTCTTGCTAAAATAAAATGCACATTCTAATTGAGAGGGCTGAAAGAGTGCTTTACTAAGCCGTATGGATCCTGAGGCACAAAGACAAATCAGTAATACCCCTGTCTTTATTTAAAATTTTGGTATTCACAGTGGAATTTGTACTAATTTATATTTTATTAAGTAATCTCTAAGCCCAACATGGGGCTTGAACTAAGCGATCCCGAGATTGAGTCACATGCTCTACCAACTGAGCTAGCCAAGTGCCCCAAGTACTAATTTTTATTAAAAAAAAATAATAGAACAGTATCTTAATCGGTTTTGTGGCACCCAAGGTATGAGGGCCTCACTCACCTCACTCATTGTGCCCTGGTGTGTAGGCCTGAGAGTCAGCAGGTCTGGCGTGGAGCCGGAAACTGCCTTTCCCACAGGTTTTCAGCCCCAGCCATCGCTGGGTTCTACAGCTCACACGTGGAGTAAGGAGGCTGTGTGGTGGTATTTTCTCTGAGATGCAGACCATTCAATTCCAATTTAGGATTGAGATAAACATTTTATTTGCCCCTACTCATTACTTTATGACATCTAGTAAAAAATACAAGGTAGCACATAAAATGCCTTTAAATGTTTCTTTCTCAAAAGTTATGTAAATATGAGTTTGCTTTTAGATGGTCATTGGAATTGGCAAAAACTTCAACTTGAAAAGGAAATTACGTCAATGCTGAAGATCTCATAGGTATTTTTTATTGAAAGATCACTTTCCTTCAATAGTGGACATTTTACATTAAATCTTTATACCAAAACCAAAAATCTCAAAATAATATTAAAATCACACTATTTTCCATTGTTTCTACTTAATTTTATTATTGGTAAAAATATGGCAAGACGCTTGTAACTAATGTTTCTGCTTTAAAATAAGCAATTAAACTAAATGTCACAAGAAGAGACAATACATACTATAATTTGCTGATAACTGGCTAAAATAACTTAATGTGTAAGAATTGCACTTGAAAAATTAAAAAAGTAAACAAAAAGCTCATTTATATATGTTTATGAACAGAGATTAATCTGTTACCTTTGCCAAGAGAAGTGTATGTTTAAGTTAAAAAAAAAAAATTTAACATCGCAATTATTCATTTTAAAAAAAGTCTTTTTACAGAATTTCCCCCATAGTTTGTTGATCAGAAAAGACTGCAACACAACTAAAGCAAAATAACACTTCATTGGTATTTAGTGCAAATTTGGAGTTATTTTACATGAAATACTAAACATGTACCCTTTAAAAGTTGCTGGGAGTGCTGCGACCGACCGTGCTGTCCGCAGCGTCCTCTTTTACTTTTGGAGACTTTAAGAGAAACTTTGTAACTGAGGTATCTTCTCCTGCTTCGTATGTGCTCGGTGCTCCGTGAGCCAGGAGCGGTGGGCTCATCTAGGATTCTTCATCAGTGACCTGACTGCTGCCCCTGTTCTCCACCCTTACTGGGGTATTATCCAGAGCTGACAGGATGAAAGAAAAAGTTAAGAATTATCGTAGCACTATAATACCAGGGCTCTAGGCGGAAAGATTCCCATTAAAAAGTGTGTTATGTTAGTAATGAAATCACTGAAAACTGACAAATGCCTACATGTTTGATTTAGGAATGAACACCAGTGTGGAAAACATGCAGTGGAATATTAACTGCTTCCCACAGGAACAAAAGAAAATTCGTTACACTGATTCTTAATAGCTGGAAGATCCAGTATATAGACTATTAAGTCCAGCTTGCAGGAGTACAACCGTCCGCGTGACCATATGTGCCACTAACCAGAAGGCTGAGCCATGGTTTCCAGACAAGAAAATGCCTTCTCTGTGGCGAATGGCAGAAAAGCAACAATACATTGCCTGTCAGATGAGCTCCGCATAGAGGAAAATGATGATGGATACTGGTAAGATGTGTTTTTGCAGGAGCGGGAAAAGGAATGCAGTTCCCCATGCACTGGGCAAAGGATGTATATACTTCTATTATGGAGTCAGAATCTCAGAAAAGGAGAATATGCCAACACCATGAAATATAAAGTCAGTACTGGCAATGTGTGGGTTGGCTGGTAGGCCTGTGCTTCATGCTTGTGAATTGCCATGTGCCTTCTTTGGACCACACGGTTTGAGTAGCAAGGCCCCTTAAGACTCGGAGATGTTTTCAAAGGTAGCAAGGTGAATGCTCAAAATTACAAATGCTATTGAACATTTGACTCTAAATATGAATTACTCGATTATGGTAAAGAAACTTTCCACAGAAGTCCTTAGTACACAGGCTCCAAATCTTGGCTTCCTGTTAAATTTTCCCTAAAGACCTAAGGGAATATTCAGAGACCTTCAATGTCAGTAGCCTCCCCTATCTTGTAGTAAATGTCTGGTTTGGGGGAATGGTTTTTTTAATTTTTCCTTTCACTTCTTTGGGTAAAATGAGCCTCCCCTTCAGAGTTTTAAAAGCTAGATTACCCTGGAAGCAGAGTATCCCAAGGTTCTCCTTTGGGATGTATCAGAATTGGTCTGAAGAGTTTTGCCAGAATAGACCTTCCTGGCCCAGACTCACAGGATTGAATTCGGAAGGCAGGGGATGGGGCCAGGACATCTTAAGAACAACTGCACTAGGTCGGGGATTCTCAGAGCTGGGAAGAGAATCTGTGGCTTCCTTTCTTCATGATCCTAAATAAACATGTTCCCTAGGAGCCAACTAGGCCAAATGTTTAGCACGTCCTGAAGGAGAGTACTGGTATGACAGGACCTGTCGGACATCAGTGTGGCGGAAGTGTGAATAGAGTCACTTTCTGTGTTATGGTTTCAGATCAGGAAGGATTCAGAAAAGCAGACGTGGGCAGAGTTGGCAGCCAGACTGTTAGGATTCCCAGTTACTCAATGCATTCAGGAGAACGGGCGTCTTGTTTCTGTCTGTATGACCCCTTCTTTCGCCATTACTGTAGAAAAGGAAAGAAACCACCAAACATATGGTAGGGTAAATGTTCTAGATAAAAGAAGCTGGAGAATCAAAAAGTCATTACAAAGATTAGCAAACGTCCTGTTCTAAATGGTGTGTAGGCGCGTATGTGTGGAAGGGCTGTGGAAGGGGCATGGTAGGCTCTTATGAAAAGTTCTTAGTTTGGAGATTTTGCTTCATGTGGTCCCTCGGATGGAACTTTCTCTTGAGAACGAGGAAGAGCTCAAGGTACCAGGACCTAGGATTGTGCAAATACACTCTTTACAAGAAACGCCACCGATTCAGTTTCTGAACATTATTTTAGAGCCTATAAAACATGCTGCTTTTCCCTAGCATGGTTTCTTTACCTCATATAAAAAATAAATAACAAGGGCAAGAGAAGAGCCAGTAACTGGCAGCAGGAGTGGATAAAAGTCACTCTACTTAATGATCTGTGGACAGTCGCTCCAGGCCTTGGCTTTCCTTTTGGCCAAAGCCAGCCAGGCTGGTTCTGTTGACACGGGGGCAGCATCTGGGGTTGAGAACCTCTTTGTGACTTCTTTCACCAGCGGCGCGGCGGGGGCTGAATCCGAGATCTCCACTGGATTGCGTTTTGAAGGAAAAGGATAAGAGTGAGTCAGAGCCGCATTCTGATGTATTAGGAGCGCAAGATTCAGAAGGGAACCCCAGTGCAACACTGGGCATCTTTGGTGAGAATTAGGGAAAGAAAGCGATGTGATCAGAACTGCTGCACACAGAATTACAGTGCAGAAGCCTAATTTTTTATGCACAGAAGCTATGCCTACATGGTAAGAAATAAAAGGTAAATGCTGTGGTTCTAGTTATCCAACCAGTCAGTTCCATGAAGAGAAACCTCAAACCAGCAGTCTGAATTTATTGAACTGGTGAGGTCAAAACTTAACCCTTCTCCACCAGGCAGGCCCGGGGTGCCCCCTGCCCAAGGCCCCGGCTCCTGCCAGCCCTCACCACGTTCAGGCTTGCCCCCCCAATTCTTTCTGTACCAGACCTTAGAGGCTTCTTAAGATGAGGAGTCTGGACTTATCTGCGTCCTATTTAGTACCTGTGGCAATGGCCTACACATGAACAGAACTCAGGAAATACTGATGGAAAAGACAAATACATCAGAACAAAGGTTTGCTTCAGTGAGCTGGAGCCACTCTCTGGGCACAGCCACAGAAGTCAGGCAGAGAAAGGTATGATCTCTGACTTTGGAATTTTATTTTGAAAGAATGCTCTCAGACACACCCATAGGGTTAGAACCCTCAAGTCTCGGGTGTAAGATCATATGAAATTACGCCCATGAAGGTTGAGAAATCACATAGTGCTCCAAAGTGGTTTTAAAATATAGTTGTTGTTCTCCTCACCAAAATAGCATATAGGGCTTTAAGGGCGAGACCTCTTTACATTTCCATACCCAAGCTAGCAGGTAACAAAGGCATAAAACAGCCTAGGTCTCCAGGGTGGGTGCCCTCTAGGGCACAGGTTGCCCAGAAGGGAAAACAGACACCCTGCTAACCCCTGGGAGGAAGCTTGTTCCAACTCCTATCCATCCTTCAAGTGATTTGTAACAAGGAAATAGTTGGAAACATTACAGGATCACTTTAACAGAATAAAGAATCTTTTAAAAATGTCTTTTATGTGTCATGAATATATTAACAGCAGTGTTTCATAAAGGACTCAGCTGAAAAACCTTGCTCTAAAGTCCTGCTGGTCAGAAACTTGCTATTTGAAATCCCACCAGTGAGTAGAGACCGTCCCACTTTTGCCTGGAAATAGGACCCTGAGTCTACTCTTGATCTCAGGTTTGAAGTCAACCCCTTTTATATACAACTCCTGCTCCTCCATCAAAACCCCATTCCACTTAAATTTTACCTAAACTTCACCCTTTCCCCCAAATCCTATTATAATCTCGCCTCTTCCTTTCTTGAGATGATTCTCACGGTCTCCAGTCCCCCTCGTAGGAGGAAGTTGGTGAACCTCATGTTGCTGGGACGAGAGGCCGTGGGGCATGGAGGGGCTCGTTCAACACGGAGGAAGTGATCGGACCGGTTGATAGCACACTGGGAGCTTGAAACTGGCCACAGTGGGATTTACCCCATGAAAACTGTCAAATGCTACAAATCCCAGGTCTCCCCACTCCCTGAAGGGTGACTGTTAGCCATTTACCATCACATCACTGATGGTGGGAAGTCCCGGTGGGCTTTATCAGATGACCTTTCTCAAAGGGTGGACGTGCGGGGTTGTGAGGCAGCCTGGGCCCTAGAGGGCCGTGTGTGCTGACCTTGTGGTCACACTCAAGGACGGAAAGCAGCTGCGAGACCAGGCGTGGACCTGCTCTCCCTACCTGTCACAGATGTAGGAAGGGTGTTGGCCTTTTTCAGCTGTTCTCTACGCTCAAGCCTGGACGCTGCCGTCTCTGGCTTCTTCTCTTCCGGCTGGGTGGTGGGCTTGTGCAGGGACCCCGCCCTGCTCACGCTGCTGCTTCCAGGCTGTGGGCTGACACTGACCTGGGTGGACAGAGTCAGGGCACATGTCTTATCAACTGAAGGACATGGAAAGACTGACCGTGCAAGGCCGTGGGGCCTTCTGCGTGCCGGCCCCCAACCTCTGCTCCTGAAGGAGCAGTGGGGACTGCACGTGGGAGCAATGTGGGGCCAACCGTAACCCCCAGCCGTGGAGCAGCTCAGCTCAAAGGTCTCAGAGGGAAACCCACTTTCCAAAGAGAGGACCATCGAACAGACCATAAAATCAGGGTCACAGAGCAAGACTCCTGATTTTCCTCCCAACTCCCTGCTCAAATACAATCACTCTATTTCCCTATTTCCCGTGTAACTGCTATGCGCATGGATTGCTGCTAGTCGTCACGGATTCTACCAAGTCAGGTTAACCTAAAAGAATAAGGAAACCAAAGAAAATTACTAACTGAACATACTTCCCTGGTTTAATGGTGATCAGTTTATTTATTGCTATAAACCTAAGTATTCTCCACCACTCCTAGCTAGCTTTTTTTTTTTTTTTTTTTTTTAAATCCTTATGACCTAAAAGAGAGCCAAATTCAAGGAAGGCAAAGTTAAAGCTGAAGACCTAGTGACTCACGTTCTCTTTGGAGAGCTTTTCGGCCTGTTTGGCCTCCCTGGCTTGCTTCTTCTCCTCTCGAGTTGCTTGCTGCTCTCGAAACCCCTTCTGCTTCTGCAGTGCTAATGTTATCCACAGTGGTTGCACCGTTTCAACTTTCTCCGCAAGTTTGGAGCCATCTAAAGAGTGCCTGCTCTGAAGAACCGGCTTTTCTGTGGAAAAAGAGATTGTGGTATTGTGATGTCTTTTTTTTAAAGATTTTATTTATTCATTTGAGAGAAGCAGACTCCCATCCTGAACAGAGAGCCCGATGTGGGGCTCAATCCCAGGACCCTGGGATCATGACCTGAGCTGAAGGCAGATGCTTAACCGATTGAGCCACCCAGGTGCCCCGATACTGTGATTTAGAAGAAATATGTTTGGGGGCACCTGGCTGGCTCAGTTGGTAGAGCATGTGGCTCTTGATCTCCGAGTCGTGAGATCAAGCCCCACACTGGGTGTAGAGATTAAATAAACTTTAAAAAAATTTTTAAAAAGAAATACATATTTGGTCTTTGTGCTCATTTCTAGAGCTCAGAGCTCCTAAAACCCTTGGGATTTCGTAAGTGATGACAGCATAAAGTGTCTCTTACTCTGTTAACGAGATGACTTTGGGATCAACACCAAGGATGTGGCTGGTGGCCAGAGGAGCCAAGCATGTGATTAGAGGGGTTGGATTTTTTGTTCCCGCCCCCAACCTCCAGGGAGGGGAGAGGGACTAGAGACTGAGTTCAGTTGCCAGTGGCTGATGATTTAATCAGCCGTGCCCACATAGCCTCCATAAAAATCCAAAAGGACGGGGTTCAGGGAGTTTCTGCTTGATGAACACATGGAGATTTGAAGGGAGAGGTGTGCTCTGGGGGCAGGGAAACTCCATGCCCTTCCCCATATCTTGCCCTTCTGTGTCATTTCCATCTGGCTGTTCCTGAATTATATCCTTTTATAATAAACTGGTCATCTAGGAAACAAAATGTTTCTCTTGAGTTCTGTGAGCTGCTCTAGCAAATTAACTGAACCCAAGGAGGGGGTCATGAGCATCTCTGATTTAAGTCGATCAGAAGCACATGTGATGCCCTGGACTTGGGAATGGCATCTGAAGTAGGGACAGTCTTGTGGGACTGAGTCCTTAACCTGTGAGGCCTGATGCCATCTCCAGGTAGACTGCGTCAGAACGCAGCTGAAACGTAGTGTCTGAGGACTGTCTGGTGGTGTGGAGACCCCCCCCCATCCCCCCGATGGAACTGTGATCAGAACCAGGAAAGGCAAAAGCAGGTTTGCAGTGAGACCGCTCACATATCTTGATCCCGCACCCCCTACAACTTGTGACATGAACTATTCAACTGTCCTTTCCTGACGTGAACTCTGCACCGATGCCTGAGAGACTTCTCTGGGTGGGGAGGTAACATCTTTGATGAACAGAAACACAGAAGCATTTTCCTTCCCTCAAAATGGAAGTAAAAATAAGATCTCTGGTGTCAGAAAATCTCAGGCCTACAGGGAACCCAGGCTGTTATCTGATTTATTGTTCTTATTTATCGCTTTTTAAGCCCAAACATCCTATGCGGAACCCCAATGGATGAAAGAGGTCCAAGGGAGGCCGCTCTACCTAGTGAGGCTGCTGGGGGCACAGGGTTCTGAGGGATGCAGCAGGAAACTGTGATTTTGGCCCAGTGCTCTCCTCTGACAGACGGAGTGTGAGCGTGCCATGCCCAAGGTCACCCAGCAGTTAGCGCCCCGGCCGAAGTCTGAACCTAGGACTTCCGATTTCCAGTCTGTGCTTTTCTTGTGGCTGACTGCCTCCCCCCGTGCAACCGTGGCCGACGTGCTGCACAGGTGGTAGGCCGCACAGGTTGAGTAATTAGACTTTTACACTGAGCAGCCCCGGGTTTGACCTCATGTCAAACAAAAGCTACTTGAACCTCCCTAAGGTCTTCTAATCCCTAAGGAGAGATGATAACGGCACATGCCTCATCAGGCCGCCCCAAGGATGAAGAGATCCTGGACGGCAGAACATTCACAACAGTGCTTGTGGCGTGGAGTAACCGCTCTACAAGAGACCTGCTCTGTTTATATCTATGAGAATCATCCCCTTCTTTTCCCGCAAGTAAAAATCATGCCATTTTAGAGATAATCTTTCTGGCACTGAATCCTTTACTATCTCAAAGGAAAAGGGCTCACTATAGTCCTGTTCTTTAGAAATCCAACAGAAGTTTACACTTTGATGATCTAAAACCTTAACAAACAGGGCTCTCAGTCAACTTGACTTTATATTGAGGAGAAAGAACCAAAGTAAAATCAAATTAGGAATTCAAGCACAAAAAAGGGGCAGGTTCTGCTTTTCTATGCCTTTTAGATCTATAACACTGTACAAAGAGAATTCCTATTTATAATGGGTCTTGGTCGTTACACTATCCCTAATCATCAAATAAACATTCAGGTATGATCTAACACAGTAAAGAAAACTGGCACACTTAAGAAGTATTAAAAAAAAACTTAAAGGTATTTTTAAGGAATCTTTAGTTAACAAAAAAAATTTAAAAATACAGTTGACCTTTGAACATGGGTTTGAACTGCGCAAGTCTACTTCTACGGGGATTTTTTTTTTTTTTTTAAATAAACAGCGCAGTACTGTGAATGTACTATCTCTTTCTTATGGTTTTCTTAATAACGTTTTCTTTTCTCCAGCTTACTTTATTGTACAAATACAGTCTTTAATGTACAAAATATGAGTTAATTGACTGTTTACATTATCACTAAGGCTTCCAGTCAGCTACAGGCTATTTAATAGTTAAGTTTTGGGAAGTCAAAGGTTATACACGATTTCAACTGCGCAGGAAGTTGGCGCACCTAACCCCCACGATGTTCAAGGGTCAACTGGTATTCACTTCAAGCATTACGCTTTAGATACACTTTAGATACATGGGAACGAGTTTAATAAATTTTAGGTTTTTTTACTCAAGGGCAGTGGCAGTGTAACACCTGTTTGTAAAATGTCTGAAAACCAAATTGCCAAGATCCAAATGATTTCCATTTGAAGCTATTATGTAAAAGGGAATCCCTACACTAAACATTCCATCTGAAAGTCATTAAAACCACTGGCCAGTTTCCTGAACAACAATTTTGACTGGTGTTTTATCACAAGGGTCAAAATACCTTTAAAGTAAAATTGCCTATTTTTATTTGAAAAGGTAAACCGCTAGCCAGATTTTTTATTTCCTTAGAACTGTGGCCCTTGAATAGCACATTCTGGAGTTAACGACCAGACTTTAAAAAGGCTGTAACACAGTATGTGTAAGGGTCTAACAGGTCTGGATTGTAGCTGAGGATCGATAAACAGAAAACATTTGAGGATGTTAAAACGGGGCTCCTGTCTGAATTTCAGCCCAGGTTGCCCAAAGGCGTTCCGCAAATAATGGCGCCGACTCTCATATCCTGAAGTAAAGTTCTAGATCACCAACTTCGAACTGGCCCAGACAGCTACCACAAGGTCATAGAAAAATGAGAGTTGCGATAGAAGGAGCCAAGGTAAAACATTTGTTTAAACCTATTCTCTCTCATTCTAAACTCAGTGGACGAGGGGAACCACAGCCCATTCAGATTCCCTCCTTTGGGTTCTGGGGATATAATCAAGTACATCCCGGCCCTACAGAGTTTGAACCACTGCTCCCAAAGGTAAATTCTTGGAGAAAGGGCCACTTAAATATCTATTCCACCCACCATACAGAGGTGGAAATTTCAGAATGAGATGACCTCTAGAGGACAAACACGGGGTGGATTCAGAGTCAAAGCCCTCCCAGTGGCTCCACCAATGGACTGGTTCTCACTGGCCTCAGCCTTGGGAATGGAAATCTCCTTCTACAGTAGCGATCTACAAAATAAAGGGTGTGTGTGCCCTAGGGGGTGTGCAAGGGAAGTCACTGGGGCTAAAGAAGAAAAGGTTAAAATTTCTGATATATTTTTAAATCTAAAAAGAAAAATGAAATCAAGCTTTTCTAATATTTAGTATTTAGACTGGCATGGACATCCTCACTCAGGCCATATACCAGAAGGCCACATGGAACAGTGTATTTACAGACCCCCCCGAGGGAAGCTGGAAGCACCACGGGCAGGGAGGGACAGGGACGCTGTCCTCACTCCTCTGCTTCGAGCATACTGTGGCTACTAATAATACAAACAGAAGAAACCAGCCGAGCTGCAAGCTCTTTGCCGGCCACTTTACGAAGAAGGCAGAGCTGTCGAGCTGGCCAAAGAAAATAAAAAGTAGCACCAGGATTTGCAACACAGGTTTATGTCCGCCTGTTGTTTCAGTGAACTTCACCCTAAATGCAAGCGGAGCTCCAGGGGTTTTAGCTGATGACAACACTACAGGTGCACAATTAACAAATGAAATTGGAGATCCACGCTTTAACATTCTTATTCTGATGGGGGTGTTCAGTCCAACACACTGGTCAGCCTGGCCTAGTGTGGGGTGGGAAAATCCCACTGGTCTTTAGACAGCACCCCCAAGGCATGTGGACCTTGCATCCATTGCTTCTTTTCTAGCAAATAAAGAAAAAATTCAGTTAGCAGAACCTAACAGCACAGAATCTGGACCCTGGGAAAGAAAAAGGGGCAGTAACGGTTTTTGGTATGAAAATTACAATAAAGGGACTTCTCTAGAGAAAGAAGCACAACAGAGAGTTATTTCTCTGGGGAGAAGCTAAGGAGAGTGGAAGAGTTCCCCAGACAGTGAGAGGGACTTTGACGAGATCATAATATCAAAAACTGAAAATGGGGCTCCAGTTCAAGATGGCGAAATAGAAGGACCCCGAACTCCTCTCCTCCCATGGACACACCCAATATACGGCTACATAAGCAACAATTCCCTTTAAAAGAAATCCAAAAACTAGCTGAGCAACTCCTACACATTGGGTGAATGAGAAAAACCCCGCACGGAAGGAGGCTGGAGAAGCTGAGACGTCATCTCACCATAAAGCCACTCCCTGTACGATAACCCCCAACTGGGAGGGAACTCACAACTCCTAGCTTCTCCTTGAGGAGCAAAGGATTTGTCTCCACATCTGGTACCCCGACTTTTAAGACTTCTACCTAAGAGCCAGGCCCACCAAAACACCTAGCTCTGAAGGCCAATGGGGCTTGTCAGCACGAGTCCCGCGGGGCTATGGGGAACTAAGGGACAGCTCTTACTGGGCTTGTGGGAGGACTCCCCTAGGCGGTCCCCCAGGGCCCAGCACAGGGGGAAAACACCACCACAAAGAAGAAACTGAAAACGGGCTTCTCATCAGCAGGACAAAGAGAAATTAGGGAGAAATGGGCCGGCAGCTGCCGAGCTACATGCCGGTCTAAGGCTTGGTTAAAAAGGACAATGAGATCTCCCTGCCATAAGGCAAGTAACCAAACCAGCACTGCTGGGGAAACAGCTCTTTTCTCAGCAAAAATCACCGTCCACCTAAACAATTCAACAAGAGAGAAGGCTTACGGGTTTCCTAATAAACCTCAGGGGAGAATTTCTGAGAAATGGGAGTAACTTCCTGGACTGTGACCCGAACGTTACCTCCAACTCTACGAACCCGACAAAGTATTCGCTTAAGGTTCTCGGGGGCCCCAAAGCCAGTGCAAGTGCTCACGGCTACTCTGAAGAACGACGAGCGGCGGCCCCGCGCGAGGGCGGCTGCTCGGCCATCTCTCGTAGGGGGCCTCGCAGGGCCAGGCTGCTGGGGCCGGGATGCAACTGCAGGGCGGTTGGCGCAAAGCGGCGCGCAACGGGGTCATCCACACCCAAGCTCCTCAGGCGGCGGCGGCGGCCGCAAGTCCCGACCTCCCACCGGGGCGCCGCTACTGCCCAGGGAGAAGGGGACGCGTCCGGGGAAACCTGTCTTCCCCGTCCCCGCCCGGGCCCCGCCTCAGATTAAGGGCGTCGTGGCTCATTAGGACCGTACTGCAGTTTCCGCTGTCAAGAGAAAGGGTGTCCGTCTCAGCGTCAGCGCCTGGACCCAAGTATCGCTAACGGTGCGAGCGGCGCACACGTCGCTGTCAGCACCTCCAAAAGTTTGAAGCAGAGCAAGAAAAGCGCCTGGTTGGGACTCGCGAGAGGGCCTCCACCGGAGGGGGCTGCTCGGGCACGCGGCCGCTCCCGGCTCCGCTCCCGGGGCAAGCTCAGGCCTCCGCCGTGACGCCCACGAGGCGCGCGGCAGAGGCCGAGCGATCCCACCCACCCCAACCTACCTTTCCTCCCGGCCTCGGGGGTTTGGGAAGGCTTCTCCGGTCGAGCGGCCGGCAGGGCCGGGGAAGCGGGTTTGCGCTCCAGTTCCACCACTTCCTCCACTTCCTCCTCCTCCTCCTCCTCCTCCCTCTGGTGCGTCCGCCTCAGCTCCGCGGACGCCGGCGGCGGCGGCGGCCGGGGCTCATTGCTCTCGGGAGCCTCCGGGTCCGGCTTCCCCGCGCGGCGGGCCAGCAGCTCTACCAGGTAGGGCCTGCTCAGTTTGGAGAGTGGGGACGAGGGGGGCGTGTGACCGGCGGGCTTGGGGGCCAGCGCTGGCTTCTGCGCCGGGGGCATTTTGTTGGCCGCCTTGTCGTGCTCTGCGGCGGGGGTCTGGCTGCCGGCCGGCGGGGCCGCGGGAGAAGGGTGGGCTCTTGTGGCCGAGTCCTTCCAGGCGGACAGGGCTGGCTTCCTCTCGGGGGGCAGGGCCGGGCCATGCTTGGGGGCCACGGCTTCCGTCCCCTCTCCTTTTGCGCTCCCTGGTGCGGGTGGGCTGCCATCGGCATTGTCCCCGGTGCTGCTGTGCCTTTTCTTCTTCTTCTGTTCTGTCTGTTGGTCGCAGTGGAAGCGCAAGGAGTAGTTGGTCCTTCTCAATTTTATTCCGAAAGGTGAGGCTTTTTCCTCCTGGCCAGGCATCGAGGGGTCTGGCTTTCCTCTCCCGCTGGTGGTCTCACTGTCCGAAGCGGCCATGGGCTCTGCATGGGCCACGGCTTTGTGAGGCGGGTAAGCAGGGCTTGGGACAAGGAAAGACGGGAGGTCTTTGGCAAATTTGCACCCCTCTGTGGTGTCTGCTGGCTCTGGTTTCTCCGCGCCCTTGGGGAGCTCATTAGTAGCCAGGGGTTGGGGCACCGATCCGTCGCCGGCTCCCGGCGAGGGTCTTTTTCTAATGCTCTCTGCTTCTGTGTTGTGTTTGGAGGTCTCGGTGCCACCGTCAGAGAATTTCTGCCAAGCGGGCATAATAGAGAACTTCGCACTTACTGGGGGGGTCTTCCGGAGGTTCCCGCGGGAATCACTGCGGGCCCTGGGAGCGTGCTCATCACCCGGCCGAGACCGGCCTCTCTCGCTGCGCGGCTCACCTTCCGCGCTCTTCAGGATCCTGGACCGAATGGAAGCCCACTCAGCTAGCGCGGCCACACTGCTCGGAGACTCCTGGGGGGCCCTGACCTTCCCGCTGCCTGCCCGGGGCTCGACAGGCGCGCGGGCTGCGTTCTCCAGCGCAGGGACATCCACGTGCTTCTTTTCTTCTGACAAGCCCAGGAGAGACTTGCATGCCGTGTCCTTGATCTGGCTCAGGTTGACCGCCGCGCCGCAAAGCTGCGCGCCCGTCACCAGAATGGCTGTGTGGGGGACACTCAGGGAGGAGGGCAGGGCGTGGGCGGCCGGGCTGGCTCGGGGGTTCTTCGGCGCGGGGGGAGCGGAGGCCAGTCCCGCATCTCTCACGGGTGTCACTGGGCTCAAATTGACTCTGGGGAAGAGAATCTGTTTCCCTCCCGATGATACCTGGAAAGTGTAGGGCCTGGGCATGCTCTGCCTCTCGTCCACCTCCTGCCACCGGAGTTCCTCCCCCTTTCTGTCTGTCTGAAAGGCGGCGTCCTTTCTCTCCCCGGGAGTCTCTTCCACTTGCGCCTGGTGTTTCTGGGGAGGCTGCGCGCTAGTTTCTGGTCTCTCTTCCGGACGAGCACGACGGCCATGCCCAGGACCAGCCCCGCGCCGTCCCTGCAGCTCGCCGGCTGCCTCGGCCTCCTGACTCTGCTTCTCGCAAATCCTGGATTCCTCGGAGCTTTCTCGTTGCTTCTCGGGCTGCAGGTGCTCTCGTTTCCCAGGTTTCTCTGCAAAGTCGACGTGAAGTGGGCTCAGGCCCCTTTTGTCGTCCAGCTGCGGCCACCTCTCCTCGCGCACTCTCGCGGCTTCCCGACGCTCCATTTCCTGCCGCCTCGCGGCATCCACTTCCTCACGCTTCCCCAGCTCCGCCCTTCCTTTGGCCGCTGCCTCCGGCCCCCGCCGCTGCTCCTCCTCCTGCCGCCGCTGCTCCTCCCATCCTCGCTGCTCCTCCTCCCGCCGGCGCTCTTCCTCTTCCAGCCGCCGCTGCTCCTCCCCCCGCCGGCGTTCTTCCTCTTCCAGCCGCCGCTGCTCCTCCCATTCTCGCTGCTCCTCCCTTTCCCGCTGCTCCTCCTCCTCCTGCCGGCGCTGTTCCTCTTCCAGCTGCCGCTTCTCCCATTCTCGCTGCTCCTCCTCCCGCCGCCGCCGCTCCTCTTCCAAACGCAGCTGCTCCTCCTCCCGCCGCCGCTGCTCCTCTTCCAAATGCCGCTGCTCCTCTTCCAGCCGCCGCTGCTGCTCCTCCTCCCGCTGCCGCTGCTCCTCTTCCATCCGCCTGTGCTGCTCCTCCCGCCGCCGCTGCTCCTCCTCCCCATGCCTCCTGAGCTCCTTCAGTTCTTTTTCTTCCTGTAGCTGCCGCTGCTTCTCCGCCTCCTGCCCGCCGCACACCGCCTGCTCTTGGGCCTCCGGGTGCCTTCCTTCCTCTTGCTCCCTCGGCTCTTGGCCTTGGCCACCTTGCTCTCCCAGTCTCTGCCTCTCCTCTTCGTGCGGCCTCTTTCCTGCCTCCAGCTGTAGTTCTGTCTCCTCTCCCTGCTCGTCCTCTCCTTCCTCCTCCAAGAGCTCTTGGCTTCTGTTCTCTTCCCAAAGCCTCCTCTCCAAGGCCTGGAGTCTCTGCTCTTCCAGACGTCTCCTCTCAGCTGCCTCGGCCTTCTGCCGTTTGCATTTGGCCTCAAGCTCTAGCCAGTATTCTTCTTGGCATCTCTTCTCTTCTTCAGAGTCTAGCAGCTCTGGTTCCTCTTCGTGCCAAATTGGCTTGTCTTCTCCAGAGTGTCCGTTCTGGTCCAGGGAGGGCTGACGCGGAAGACCACCATGTTCATTTGGTCGATCCTAAGGAAAGAAAGAATTAGCCTTTTCCTTTAGCACAGGCAACCATTACCCATCCTATTCATAATGTTGGTGGCCCTCTTAATCTCAAAAGAAGGGGTGCTTGGGTGGCTCAGATGGTTGGGCATCTGCCTTTGGCTCGGGTCATGATCCCAGGGTCCTGGGATCGAGTCCTGCATCAGGCTCCCTGCTCCTTGGGAGCCTGCTTCTCCCTCTGCCTGCCTCTGTCTCTCTCTCTGTCTCTCATGAATAAATAAATGGAATCTTAAAAAAAAAAAAAAAAGGGGCAGTCGTTCTTAAGTATAGAGCTCGGTAAACACCAAGAGCAAATTGCCAGGGTGCAGGAAAACACATCCTGTTCATGTTGACTCTCTAGCCCCTTTGTTGGTCATTCTCAAATTCCTTTTACTTAATACAAATGAATCACAGGAGAACCAATAGCCCAGCATGAGGAAGATGAGAAAAAAATGACATTTGCACTTCATCGATGTGCCCTGAAACCTGTGACTTCAAAGTCCACCCCAGTCAAACCAAAGAACCTCTGGCTGAGCCATAGCAGGGGAGCTGGGTCACCTGGCCGGGGTGAAGCCAACGCCAAGTGTCCAGAGGCCCTCAAACGGCAGCCTCTCATTCCGGGGTCCACCAGCCCCCAGGCGGGCAACATGTTAGGGTGATGGACAGTAAAGGGGCCTGCTTGCCCTCGTTCACTGCAACACACCAGGTCCCTGATTCAAGGAACCTAGTTCATTCTACTGGCCCCTCATGGCACCACCCCACTGGGTAGAATGGGCACCCAGCAAGCATGGGCAGCTGCCTGGTCAGGTTCTACATACCCTGCCTGGGACAGGTTCTACATACCCTGGCAAGCCACCGGTGCTTCTTGGACACTCTCTGGTTTTTTGGCTTTACGGACAATTTGTGCTTGGCGGCACTGTTGTCCAGGCGAGCGATGGCCAGGGGGATGGCATCTAGGTTGACACTTTCGATGGTTCCAGCAGAAGAGAAGTGCCTTTTTGGCCGAGACGGTTTAACTGGAGCCACCTGTATGGAGAGGAAACCACACAGTCCTGATCAGAACCGCGTGCGAGGAGTCCCAGAGCCGTCGCCCTTGCTGGATGGAGCCCGCACGTTGCCCAGTCCGGCCCAGGGACAGCTTCAAGCAGGCAGGGCTCACTGGGACAGTGAGATGAGCATGGCTTTGGGAATTAAAAGGGGACACTGACGATTTGTTCAGCCAGTGCTACTTGCATTAACTCATACAGGTCAGATAACCTTTCAGGGGCTAGTTTACCTACTCTAAATAATGTTGGGGGGGAGGTTAGAGTAGATGGGGGTGACAAAACATAGCCAGGGGGCCCAATCCTGCCCACAGCCTATTTTGGTAAATAAAGTTTTGCTAGCACACAGCCACGCCCATTGTCCATTGTCTTCAGCTGCGTTTGGGCTACAAAGGAAGAGCACAACAAAGGAGAGTGTCCTGGTTGGACCTTATGGCCACAGAGCCTGAAATAAGTCATAGTTTGCTGAACCCTGGACCAGCTCATCTCTATGCTAAGGACTCTATTATCTAAGACACGACCTCAGACACCTGCAAACATCTCTCAGCTTCTACCTTAGTCCCTTTGAGGAGGGAACGTATCTTTTTCCTCTTTTCAGTCCCCTTTATGCCCAAGTAGCAAATCTCATTTGGCAAGTGTTCAATACATATTTTTGGGAGGAATGAAGGAACAACAACAAAGTAGATCGTCTATGCCTAGGGCATGAAATTGCTACCCACAAAAATGCTCTAGCACAATCACTCCAAGGCCACAGAGCACTGGGTTGAGTGCACCAAGCTGCTGAGAGGGGGAGGCCCTAGTGGAAAAAGGAAGGGCAGAAATGTACCAGCCAGGGGTGAGGGCTGTCCCTCAGAGGGCGAACGGTAGCACTGTAACGCAGATGCGTGCACTTAGAAACCACCACCTCGACACGCTGTACAGTTAGGTCAGAGAGCCTCCTGCTCCCGGAGGCCACACTGAATGGGAGGAGAAGCCACACCTGTAACTCCTAAGAATTACCGGCCACAGCAAAGGGACGGCTCCCAGCCGCACGGCGCCAGCGCGCGGCAGAGGGCGCTCTCCGCCCTCCCTGCAGGGCCGGCAGCTCCCGGCACAGGCACCCCAGGAGCCGAGGCCGGGGTCCGTGTGTCAGCATTCATGCTACCGATGCAGAGCCGGTGGGGCTTAGCGGACAGCTTTGCTTTTTGCAATCACCTTCCATATTCATGCACAAAAGATAAAGGACCAAGCCAGCTCCAAGAGCAAAATGGATGCTCAGTAAATAATAACTTAAGAAGCACAGAAGTAAGGAAAAATAATTCCAGCCTTTGGGCTCCTAGCTTTTATTTCTTTATAGTTATCTTTCTAATAGGTATCAAATTCTGAACTCTGGTTCAAAAGAAATGAATCAAACATTTATTTCCATCCCCTAATAGATGGATGAATAAAAAGCATCCGAGCCAAATGTGACAGACTGAAGGCACAGAGAAGCACTTGAAGCTGAGATTTAAATGCCAGGTTGCGTTTCTAGTGTATTCCTCCCGGTCTTCTTCATTGTCTGGGTGGTGGCACTGTCTGCAGCATGCCCCTTCAGAAGACTCAGGGACATACTCTGCTCACTGTACCAACCCCCAGGAGGAGGACTGGAGCCCCGTGCAGGTGAAGATTGCTCATGGGAGTGGACCGGCCTCTACAGGGTTCCCAAGACTCTGGTAGGCACAGTCCCGGGTTCAAATGAACACCAGAAAAGTTAAAAAACAAAAAAAACATACAAGTAGAGAAAAGCTGAGGTTTTTTTTTTTTTACATCTCTAAATAGAAGGAGACTCTTTTCCTGAAGGTACAGGTGTTCTGAAATGTCTTTTTCAATGGCTTAACAGTGTCTGGAAGGACCTGGCACAGTTAGGAAGATGAGCAACGTCTAAGTGTGCAAATATGCACAGGCTGGGAGGTGGCTGTTTTTCCAAGCGGGGCTCAGTCCCAGCAGGTGCATAACGAACACTCTAACATCTACCACTGGTAACGTTCTGAAGGAACTGAAGGTCATGGGTGAAGGCAGCATTTACGAATGGAAAAATGAGATGGTGGGTCGACAAAACGGGGTGGGGGGGGCCAAAATGGAAGTTGAAGTAAAGACACTAAAAACAGAAGTTGAAGTCATACTACCTTCTCTTCCATCTCACTTCTGGCTCCAGGCCGATTCGGAGGACTCCGAGAACTTGGAGTGTCACTGGGCTGGAACAGTAAAGAGAGCGCTGCAGTCAGATGCCGGAACAGGAAGTCCCGGGCAGATAAGCGGACTCCAGCTGCACGTGGGAAAGGTGGGTGTCCGGGTGGGGACTCGACTAATGTCCCGACTAGGACTCCCGGCACGGACTGTACACTTTCTTCTTTTCCTGAGTTCAACACATCTCCATCCGGGCAGCCTCTAGCCTCTGTCTTTGCTGCATTTCCCCAGGTCTGAGAGAAGCCAGGCTTCAGCCTCTCACCACCCCACCTGGGAAGCAGGGCTGGGTCACACACCTGACCTCAGAGCTTTTGGCCATGCCCACTGCCTTCACCCCCTTCACCTGCGACACCTCTCACCTCTATGCCAGGCCTTTTCTCTGTGGGAAGGAAAGGCCCTACCAAAGCTGCGTGCAAAGGGCTGGGCTGAGAAGGTGGATGACCAGAGGAGGCAAAACCCTCAGCATGGAAGGAAGAAGAAAAAGGCCGAAGATCCCCAGCCCAGTTGCCTCACCTGCCCTGGGAAGGGCCACACCATGTCGCCTGCCCCTGAGGGCACGCTGTATCTTCTACCTGGCGTGGCCCATCTCTACAAACAGGTGTTATCATCCCCTCCAGAGCAAGAGTGTCAGCTTCCGTACCTCAGCCTGTTTTCTGCACCACACTTAGAAGCACCTTTAGAAAATACAAATCGGGCGCCTGGGTGGCTCAGTCGGTTGGGCATCTGACTCTTGGTTTCGGCTCGGGTCATGATCTCATGGTCATGGGATCGAGCCCCGCGTCGGACTGTGCTGAGCTGAGCGTGGAGCCTGCTTGGGATTCTCTCTCTCCTCCCTTTGCCGCTCCCCCCCGCTCATGCTCTCTCACTCTCCCTCAAATAAAAATAAAATTTAAAGAAAAAATAGAAGAAAACACAAATCAGATTATGTGACCAACAGGCTTAAAATTCTACTTCTCTCAGAATAGAATTCACCTTTTTCCCATGGTTTGCACAATCTGGCCTCTATACCTCGCTCTCCTCCCTTTGCCCCCCCTCCAGGGTTTGGCTGTCTGCACCAACCTGCTTTCTTTTGGGACACCTTCAGCCCCATCTCTGGGCCTCCGTACTTGCTCTTCCCTCTGCAGAGAACACGGCTCCCACCCCCAGGACTGCTCAGGCTGCTCTGACCTCCTTGTCTAGAGAGTGGCCTCTCACCCACCACGTTACTCACTTTTCTGTCACTCTGCCTTATCTCCTGGGCAGCATTTTTCATGATCCAGAGTTATTACATTTATTGTATAAATAAGTTATTATATTTATACGTATGTGTTGACTTGCCACGTGACTCTCCTCTCATTAGAATGTAAGCTATGCGGAGGCAGCCCCCAGACTAATCTCGCTCATCTCTGCAATACCCACGGCTGGGGCAGCACCTGCAGACCAACTGAGCCTCCTTCTCCCTCAGGCCACAGTCCCTGGCACTTATTAGATCCTCAGTAACAGTGAGGACATTTGCTTCAGTCCTTGGGAAGTCCGTGCATGAAGGCTGATTTTCGTCGCTGCCCCCTAGCCCTGGAGACATTGGACCTGATGGGAGGGCTGAGCCCCGTCCTTTTACCCACCACGCCACCCGCCACCCACATGTCTGGGGACCAGGAGTCATGAGGGCCGGAGGCAGACTGGGGGGCGGCAACAGCAGGGGAATGGCCTGTTCTTTCCTTCCTCACTTTGCTCTGCAAATCACTTCTCTTTCTTACCGCCCTTCTGACACATTAGCTGATAGCAAGCATGACTTTGGGGGGCACGTCCATTTTAACAACAGCAGTGTAATTTCAGGCGTCTTGCTAGGCAGAGCACAGAAAATGCTTTCTGTTGAGACTGGAAGGTTCGGTGCCTCACCTAGAGACCTCCCTGCTTCAGCTGCTGGTGGGGCCTTCCCTCCTTCCCCACTAGAGGCCCGAGGATGTCCCCTCTGCTGCTGGAAGGACTCTCATTCCGGGATACCCTCATGGTGTTTCTTTCCAAGTGTCAAAAGACCAAATTCAGAAAGGACAATGCTGAACCAATGTGACTTTCTTCCCTCATTAAGTAGACTTCAAGCTTGGCCTGTTAGAAATGTTCTGTCTCGTTAGGCACCTACTCCTTTGTTTTCTCATCTCCCTTTAAATTAGTCCAATTTGACAAGTAATTACTTGGTGCTACTAAGTAAGGCACTAGCTGAGTCCTGGGGAGACAGAGATGTGAAAGACCCAGTTTGTCCTCAGGGAACTCCACATTTAGAGATGGAGAGAACACAATTACATGGACACGGATGAGTACAGATGTGTGAGAAGCACGAAGGACGCACAGCAAAGACACAGAGGAGATTGCACCGCGTGGGGGTAAGGCCAACTAAGGCTTCCCAGAAAAGGTGGGCCCACCTGAGTCTTGAAGAGTAAGTGGAAGATGCTGTGAGGAGTGCCTGCGAAGGGCACGTCTCCTCTTGCCCACCCCCACCCGCCCCTCCAAGTGCACCTCCCTGCAGCTCACAGCGCCTGACCACAAAGTGCCCTCCAGCCCGGGGCTACTCATTGGAAAATCTTCTCTCACATATTCCCTGTACAGCAGACCCCAGAGCTACTGGATGCCCCGGGCCACTGCCCAACGTCCTCCCCTCGCCTATCAGCAACCAAGTCATTCCCTGGAGGAGCCTTACTTTGTTCTCGGTGTCTGAGAGGATGATGTCCTCGTGAGTCACAATTTCCACGGGACTGGTCAGGAACAGATCCTCTTCTAAGCTAGCCTCACCACTGTCTGCCTTCTTCATGGGAATGGCAGTGGGTGGTGGCCGCCCAAACTTGATGTTTTTGCTCAACTGTCGCTGGAGAAAAAAACAAAGAAAGATGTTCTGAAGCAGGGAAGCAGGTCACGAGAAGCGCGAGCAGATGCCCCGGCATATCTAGTGGGCACCGAGGCATGTTCTGCACACATTTCTAGACTAAATACCATGCCAGTAAGCCACGATGCAGTCCTGGAACAAGTGGATTTGCTTTCTAGTTTCTCTTCCTTTCCCACCCTCAAGCCAGGAGCTTTTTCATCCAGCCACCTCTTTCCTGGAGATGCCAACATTATCCAGGGGGGCAGAGAGACCACATTTCTGAACCAAAAGTGGGGATACGTGTAATGACAAAAATTTTTTGATTAACCCTATAAATGTATTTATTAAAAAGTCTTTTAAAAGTATAAAAATGGTATAGAAAATAGTTACGTGAACTGCAGGAACCACTGGGGGAAATCAAGACCCACATGGTTGCTGTAACAGGGGCACCCTCCAGCTTCTTTTGACACGTTCTCCTTGAATATTTACGCTTTAGGCACCTTCCTCCCCAGCCCCTCGCTCGAACACCATGTTCTTCTCACAATGGGCAGTGAGGTGAAGGAGGCCCCAGTGCTGGCAAGTCTTTCCACAATCAATGCGTAAATCATGGAAGGCACAGAACAATCCTGTCCTGCCCCTAGGACTCTTTTTGCCTTGCTGCAGCTAGACACTGTGAGCTGTGGGACAGAAGGGCTGGAGAGGTAGGCAGGAGGAAAGGGCCAAGAAGGGATGCATTATTGGTGGCAGGTAGCTAGAAGGGTGTGTGTGGGGGAAATGGGGTAGAAATTAGGAAGATCAACAGTGTTTAGAATTAAGAGAAAAGCCAGATTAGAAAAGAAATATATTCTCTGAAGAAAAAATAAATAAATATAATGTTAAAGAAAGGGCAAAATATTTAATGGGTTGTGGCAGAGAAAATGAACATTCAGGAAGAAAAAAGGGTATGCCATGGCCACCTGAAGGACTACTGAATTAAAAATACTGTAGAAATGCCTGCCTTTTTCTACAGCAGGGTTCTCAACCTCGCACTACTGGCATTTCGGCCACATCATTCTCTGGTGTGGGGAGCTGTCCTGTGCGTTGTAAAATGTTTAGCAGCAGCACCCTGGCCTCCGGAAACTAGATGCCGGTAGCAGTTCCTTCCCTGTCGAGACAACCAAAAATGTCTCCGTTGGGTGCCTGACATCCGCTGCGAGGGTAAAACTGCTGTGGCTGAGAGCTCCTGCTCTAGACCTACGGACTTGGGCTTCATAGTCCTTTTGTGCCAGAAGGAAGGAAGGAAGGAAGGAAGGAAGGAAGGAAGGAAGGAAGGAAGGAAGGAAGGAGGGAGGGAAGGAGGGAGGGAAGGAGGGAAGGAAGGAAAGAAGGAAGGATGGAAAGAAAAGAAAAGAAAAGAAAAAAGGAAAGGAAAGGAAAGGAAAGGAAGGAAGGAAGAAAGAAGGAAGGACGAAAAGAAGGAAGGAAGGAAGGGAGTGAATGAGGGAGGGAGGGAGGGAGGAAAGAAAGGAAAGAGAAAAGAAAAGAAAAGAAAGAAGAAGAAAGAAAGAAAGAAAGAAAGAAAGAAAGAAAGAAAGAAAGAAAGAAAATGCATTATCTGATATTTATCTTTAATCTGGCTAATATTTAATCCTATAGAGCCGCAATGAGCCTTAGTAATCACATAGTCCAGCCCCCTCATTTTATAAAAAATGTCAGAGGTCCAGTGGGGAGAGGTGACTGGCCCAAGCTTATGGAAAGAAAGTGTGACCCCAGAGGGATCTGAGGCCAGGTCTCCTAAAACCAGAGTCAGTGTTATTTGCATCGCATCCCACAGGTTCTCACAAATTTGACATTGTGCCTCTTTATTCCTCTAGGGGCAGAAATAAAGATGATACAGCATTTTTAAGACCTTGCCCAAGTTCCCTGGCAGGGGAATCCCTTGAGGGAAATGCCCCTTCTGACCTCAAGGGTACTAAATCCACCCGCTCGTGCCCAGCTCCCCCTCGGCCCTGCATGGTAGACAGTGAGACTGCAGAGATATGGAAAAGATGAGCCCAAGACTGCCCTCCCCACACCCCAGGTCACCCCAGCATGCCAAGTCAGGAGCACAGAAAGACAGAGGACTTGTATTTGATCTGCTGCTATTTCAGCCTGAGCCTGGCTCCCCTGGCACCACAGGGAAGGAGCACATATCAAAAGCCCCAAGTTCAGCCAGTGAAGTACAGAGTACAGCTTGAGCAGCCTGAAAGGGTTTTGGGGAGGAGAAGGCTGAAAAAGGGTGTCTTCTCAAAACCAGTTTAGCAGGAAGCGGCAGTTAGTATCTACTCTAAGCAGATCAATAAGCAGGCACGGTTAGAGCAGCCGATGGAGCCAGACAAGAGGACACGGTGTAATGGAGTCACAGGCCCATCTCACTCTGCTGACCTGTGGGAGAGGGGTCGGGACGCGGGCAGAGGAGGTGGCATGGTTCCTGTGTCCTAGTGAAAGCCCTAGCAGGACCTCCCTCTGGGACTCCCAGCCCAGCCTTCGGTCTACCAGTTATCCCTGCTCTAGGAGTGTTGGCCGAGAGCTGGAAAGTGTTCTAAATCCCCTTAGACTGAGACCTCCTGTTGTCAGGGTCTGCCATCTCTCAATGCTCCTGAACGACTAAAATGAGGGTATTTCTTCTAGTTATAATAGAAAGAATAATTCTTTAACGAGTTTCCAAGGAGAACTTGGCCTAACAGTCAATGCCAGTTAGGGGTTTTTGCCACCATAACAAAAAAAGAATGAATATGCTGATATTTTTCTTCATTAGGGCACCTTTTAAAATACTGATGTTGGTCCACCCTGATGCTTAAGAGACAACCAAGCATATGACACAATGTAATCGCAGCCTAGATGGAAATAAGCTCCAAAGATAGGATGGCTGTCATGGAGCAATGGAAAAGCTACGAGAGAATGGAAAGAGGAAATCGATGGAATGAGAACAGAAGAAATAGGGCACACGGGACGAAGCTAGGAAGTGGAGAGGGTGGTGTTAAGAGCTAAGTGGAGAATGAAATCAAAGAGGTGAGCCGAGAGGAGGGTGCAGGGGCGTGGGGTGTGGGCCTGGCGGCAGGTACCCAGTTGAGGGTGGGGAGAGAGAGAGGGAAGAAGAGGTGGAGGGTGGGAATGAGAATGTGTGTGTATTGAAGGGATGATTTACGTCACAGAGATGTGCATCCTGGCAAAAGAAACACAATGCTGTTGTCTTTGAGAATAACAGTGTGCATTTCTGTAAAGCCGCTGGTTTAAAATCCCTCTAGAAAAAATAAATTCAGGCTGGTGGCTGCGAGCTTCGGGGGATGGAGGAGGGGAGGACCCAGGTCATCACAGAAATGCTGGCCGAGTTCAGGGATTGAGCTGCAGCCTCTCTGTCCAGACAAAGGACTGCCTTCCTAGACACACACACCTGCAGCTGTCAGGGATGAGACCACAGAACTAGGCCAGGGTAGGCCTTAGGGTCCAAGGCCGTGGTGACTGAGCCTTAGGTTCTCAAGGCCGAGGCTCCTGCACCTGCATTTTTCCCTCCCTGCGGTTCCTGATCCAAGGCTTTCTTCAGCTGACTCAAAGGAGATAGGGCTGTAGAGACACTGTGTGATTTAACGACAATTAAAAGGTGACTGCTGAAACCTATTTGGCAATCTCGGGTGTCACGTGACTTGAATGTAGGGATCAGTGTGACTTTTTTTGTGACTTTAGTTCTGTCCACTACGCAGGCATTGTCATGAGAGGAACTTTGATAGAAGCAATCCCTGACAACCAGCTGTTTGGACGACCATTCCCTCCACCTTCTCTACTACCGAGGAGCCCTTTATCTACATTGCAAGCACAGCCGGACGAAGCGGGGACACTGCGCCTACAGCGACGGGCCACGCCGCCTGCAGCTGTGAATGGGGTTACTGTGAGGACTGGAATGTGAGCTAAAATGGACTATATTTTACTCATTCAAATTGGGCCATTTTGTTGTAATATGGAATGCCAGAGAATGATGTTATAGGAATGCACATCCATATTTATAAGGCTTTTTCCTATGGTGTGGGAATTCCAAGCACATCATATTCTGCAGCTCTCACACTGCCAGTGTTTAGGCTCCCCCAGATTTCTCACAGCTACCCTTTAGACCATGGCCGTGAGAACAGAGCAGAGGAAAAATGAAGTTGCTGTCCTCTTGAGTGAACTACAGATACACCCATAGTGAAAATGAATTTTTAAAGAGAGGCAAAAGAAAAAGCATATAGATTTAAAGACATCTGCTCTATGCAGAAGCAGCTAAGAATGGGTATTCAGTCTTTGTGTCCTTGACAGCAGCATGAGGTGTCAAAATCCTCCAACATATGACACTTCGGCATTTTTAAGTGAAACCCAGCTCCTCAGGAGTCAGCGACTACTGAAAATGGAGGCTTTCCCCCCTGGGCTAAATAGTCCATGGACTAACAGAGTTAGCATTTTCTGACAAAGGTGTGGTATAATTCTAAAAACCACCTGCAGGCTTAGACTCCGATGTTCCTGTCTGAGTTTTATCATCAGTTGTTACCCACTTCATAGCCTGGGTCTGATCTGAAATAAGCAGGCCTCTCCCTGGTCTGTGATCTGGGCAGCTGTAAGGAACATCAAGGTCACTGAGCTCCAAATGCAACCAAGTGTGAAGCTTACCAAACCACTCCGTGCTACAGCAGGTGAGCAGTGATTTCGTACAGATGGCAGACTTTAAGAACTGGAGGAGCCAGATCATCCATCATATTCATCCCCTTATTTTTCAGATGGGGATGATGAGGGGCAGAGAGCTTCAATGATTTCCCTGGAGGCCACACAGCCAGGTGGTGGGGAAGGCCGGGCACAGAATTTTTATTTCACCTATGGCCATGGAACAGCTGACTGTTATGTGTAGGGTCTTCAAAAAGGGCATCACTGTTGTTCTGGCCCCTATAACTCTCCTGTATATTAGAATTTGTTCTCCCTACAAACATGTAGTATTTTTATACTCAGGAAAAAAAAAGTCATTTTTCTTGTAAAGGGTCAATGATTTGCCACAGAAATTTTGGCAGGTGATAGATTCACTTGATTCAGAAAATGCAGGCTTATTCACGCTGCATTCATTCATTCTGCACTCAGTGGACAGGTTACAGACCACCACGGTGCAATGTTAGGCCGGCTGGCCGGCCGAGCTGGGATGACCACGTGTGGACACTAGAGGGCAATCTTTCCAAACGCAGTCAGTACACGCACAGTTCTGGGGTTTCCAAGGGCTGGGAAGTTTCTTAGGCCAGAGAAAAATGGCTCCCCCCCACCGCCGCCCCCAAGATGGCATTATGATAGAAATCTCATTTCAAAAGAATGTCTTAATACTGGTGGCTAATCAGCCTGCCAGGACGTCCACTGTCAAATAGGTATCCGTGACTTTCCTCTCTCTGTTTTTAATAAACATACATACATACACAAACACGATATCGAACATAAAAAACATACATGCCTCTGACATAACTAACACCCTCATTTCATGCTGGAGTCTACGAGGGGGCGGTCTTTTATGCTGCTTACTAAGCATCAATACCAGCATAACGTTGTCATGGAAAAATGCAAAGCATTCATGCAAGTTAATAAAGTTAACTACTATTTCTATGACTTACCAGGAACATACTGCTTAGTCGACTGAAAAATAAAGCACAGTCTTTTGGGGGTGATACAGTTATATCTTAATGTCACTCCAAAAATCACATTTTCTATGATAATGGTCCCCATTTCCCTCCTCAAAGAGCAAAGCCTCTTTAGTTTTTAAAAGTATAACTAGAGAGCTGTGAGGAAGATTATGAATCCACAGCAGAAGCAAAATTAGGCAGACCTCGGATGAGGAGGTACTGTCCAAAGGAGAGCACTCAGCTTAGTTATTCTGCTTTCCTCACAACTTTCTTTCTGTTAATAGAACTGTTGCTTCAGGGAAGTTGGTTGTTTTACATTTTAATTGTGAGACCTGATTCTTTAAACTTGTGCCTTGCAGCGTGACTTGGAATAACAGGCACTCACATATTTTTATTGAGTTTCAGCAGTGCAGAATTATATATTTTTCCCAATTCCAAATCCACTTCCTGGAGGGGCAGTGGCATGCGGTGTGATGTTAGCACAGACAGCATTTAAGACAACACACTAGTATCTAATTTTTAAAGAGCTCCTCGAAAGCCCTTATAAAATACAGCTGTTTCATGGATTGAACTCTGGAAGTCACTCCACTTGGAAAGGGCGTATTTATGAGCCAGGAGTTCAGAACTTCTTAGGAATAACAGTCCAGGAATCAAAAGACTTCACGAAGGGAAGGTAATATGGGGAGGGCGTTCACCGTTTTCTTTGGCGATCACCACCCCTTCCTCTTCTCCAACCTAGGAAACGTGCTACACATGTAGCAGCGCAGCCAGCAAGAACTAAGAGCAGAACCTGGTTAGGACATGCTGGAATCTGAAGGAAGGGACTACGTTAGCTCTGAGAGCAGGACAGGGGCCCTGGGCCATGGCTGGCAGTAGGTATAAAGATCCAGGCACGTTCGGGTATGGTTCCAGGGTGTTAGCTATTTTCCCGCCTTCCATATGCTATATTCAGCTGAGTGTGTGTGGACATGTAACCAAACACAGATCACAAAATGCATAGCTAATGTTCAGTAGAAACAAGAACATTTCAAGAAAATAGAAAATTTCCTTTGAGTACACTGCTTCATTGTATTGGCAGCTACTCAAGCCAGCTGTCCGCCCCCCATTCATTCATTTATACATTCGTTATTGTAGACTTACAGACAGTTGGAAACCAGCAAACCAGAGTCCCCCGTTCGTAACTTGGATCTCCTCCAAGCCTTCCCACCTCAGAGAAGTGCTTGCTTGGGCACTTCTGTCAGGTGAGTGAATTCTACCAGGCTATCAGGCAAACCTACACAGTCAGATCCCAGGTGTCTCTGCTCCTCTTGCTTTCCCTGGATTTCCCATGATCTCAATCACATTTAGTGAGTAATTGTTTTATTATATCTTCATTATTAAGGAGTTACCACCGGAGTCAATTTTATAGAGGAAAACTGCCCGGCTCTGCAGCATGAACAGGAGGGAGGTTTAAGAGCTGCCCGGCATTCCTCCAAGACAGGGTGGCTCAGGGGGAGCCAGATTTACAAATACGGCAAATAATAGAGTCTTACCATTCACTGTCCAAGTATGGAGATGTGCTGTGCATGCCCTCAGCTAACAGTCAACCCTGTGTTCAGGGATTATGGGCCACATTTCCAACTCTCCCCTCCCACCAAGTCCTGCAGCTTCTCTTGGGTACCTGTCCTCATGACATGCAGTTAAAAATGAGGGAACAACTCGACAGAACAGGAGTGGAGTTGTTATGCAGGTGGGTACAATGGTGGTGACGTAACCTCTCCCAGGTGGACAGAAGGCTTCCAGAGAACAGAGTCAGGGTTGAGAGAGCAAAAATTCCCACCAGAAGCTCCCCTTGGATCTCCCGATCCCTTACTCAAGGCCACTCTCGGGATGTTCCCACTTCCCACTTCCCACTTCCCACCATCGCGGGCCCCCTCCTAAGTCTGACTTGCCAATCTCAAGCTGTCTTACCTGAAGAGTTTTGACTTTGCCCAGGATGTTGTCCTGTGACATTGCTTGAACTGTCTGCTCACTTTCTGCTCCCCCATCAGGGATAAAAATACTGTCATGGGAAAATGCCCGGGTTCCCATAGAATAGTTGAAGGACCTGGAATGCAAATCATGGGCTTCATTTTATTAGGATGATAATAATTCTTTTGGCAATTCAGCTTCCTGTTCCTTCTGATTTAGGGGACTCCCCCACAACCCCTGTCTCATTCAGAGAGCACTTCCAGCATTGTGTCCTTTTCTGCGAGGTGTCAGCCAAGTAGCTGGGTAGGAGAAAGGGTCTCCCAGAAATAAGGGAGCATGTCTCCAACACAGGTTTAGAGCCACTCAAGGAGAGAACTCAAAGACAGCTCTTGACTTGTAGAGGACCTGGTACCCGAGGCCCTGGCTGGAATTGTAACTGGAGGAGCCCATGTCCTGACGAGCCTGAGGAGCTGCCACTATCCATTTTCCCCCAGTAAGTCCTGTCAGCAACACTTTTGAAGTCACATGCAGATCTAGAGGTAAGAGGCAAGAGATTCTCTCTTTCAGATGACAATCAAATTGTTAGAAAGACCCGTACATCTAAAACAAAGACTTGACACAGCCCAGAATTGCTGGTCGGGCCTACAGGAAGAGTCTCTGGGGCTGGACTTGAAGAGAAACGCGCGTTGGGGCAATCCCGATGGGCTTCACGCACACTGAGCAGCTCATAGTGGTAGGTACCCAACAGCACGTTTCAGTTGAAGCGTTGTGCTTCATGGAGTCCGGACTTCCGCCTGGCGGGGAGCGCAGGGGGGGGCTGCAGGAAGAGGAGCAGCAGGAGCTCTCTGTTCCTCACTCAGCCTCAGCTACTAACTGCTCTCTAAGGCTGCTCCCAGGGGCAAGCAGAACCACACCCTCTCTGGGAGGCAGGGCAGGTACATTCCCATGGTGCCAGGTGCGCAGGCGGACTCTCGGGTGAGAGGGCACCTCCCGCTCCCCTCCTTCGAGCAGGGTCTGGCCTGGAGCTTTTATCAGTGACCTGGGGCCAGCAATGGGGGGAAAGGCACCTTCAGCTGGGCCTTCTAAACGCAGTCACAGACGTGCAGTGGGCAGGGTCCTGACCAAATCTAGACAGAGTGAGGAAGACTGAGTACCAAATCCTGTCTTCGAAAAGCATATGAGGTTGAGAAACGAAAAACTTGGATGCTAGCCTCCTGGCTGGGTGACCCTCATCAATACCAGTAATAGCTGCCTCCAACCCCACCCTGATGAAAAACCGCTGAGAGTTTGACTCCCATCATTTCAACCCCAATCCCTTGTTGCAGATGGAACTCAGGGGGCAAATAACCTTATCTAAAGTCATCCGAATAGAAGTCGTAGATGAGAAAATGAGCTGCAGAGAACAGTCTCTCACCAGCCAGCGGAAGTGTTTCAAAGCAGCGGAAGGTCTTAGAGTCTTCCCTCTAGGGAGTGAAAGAGGGTGTGGGGGGGCCAATGGGAGGGGAAGACAGGACGCAAATGCCATGTGGACTGGAACCTGGGAGGATTAGAGATACTAAATAGCTAGAAGAACGGGCAAGTTTTCAGCTAAATAACACCAGACACCATACAGCGGCAACCCACTTTATGAAATAGGAGGCACTGTCTAGGATATGAATGTGAAAAGAATTAAATATCTCCTTATCTCCCTGTCTTCAGAGACTCTGTGGCCTCTGTTACAAAATGAACAACGAGGCTTACCTAAAGAGGCTATGAAATAAACTTTTCATCTAAAGTTACAGAATCAAATCTTTTATAGGAAGTGCCATCAGAAGAGAATCAAATCTTTTAATATTCCGTCTAAACATCAGATTCCTGGCTATGATTCAGATGGGAGAAGACACAACCAACTTCATGTCTACACAGTGTTTTTACAAGTGGCTTAGACACATATACATGCTTTCAAATATCCTTACAAACACATATATACACAAGTCATTTTAGAAGCTTAATAAATGTTTACTAACAAATGTGTACTACAGTTGTGTGGCCACATCACTCTGGTGGTAGGCCAAATCCCATTCCAGTTTCTAAGGCAACCTTGACTGAATCATGAGCTTGATCTCCCTGATCCCATTCTTTTTCCAGGTAGGCTAAGAATCGACACTCTCCTACCCTTCTGTGTTACCCCAAATGTTCCTTGCTGCCAACCACAACGAATGTCCATCCATTCCTCACTTCCAGATAATCACATTGAAAAACAGAGAAAAATGAACAGTAATGATAGCAGTAGTGATAATCACAATAATAGTGGCAGTCACAATGGTAATATTAATACTGGCTAGATTTTATCGGACACTTGCTATGTCCCTTGCGTATGTGCTAACCTCTGTAGTGTAATATCTGAGTCCTTTTGACACATAATATTTAAACCGTATGTGGTAGGCGCTAGTATGAAGCGTATTTCCAGAACAGGAAACTAAGGCTTGAAGACAGTGGGTGACTTGCAATGAATGAAGTGACTGTATACATGTGGATCTGTTTCTGGCCTCATTTCCATTGGTCTACTTGTCTATTTTTACTGCAATAATCCCACTCTGTCTTAATTACTACAGCTTTTTAATGAGTGTTGGTATCTAGTAGTTTAACTTCTCCAGCTTTGATTTTTTTTTGTCAAGATAGCTATTCTTATCTCTGCATTTCTGCATAAATTTACATACATATACACACTTCAACACACTCCTAGAATTGCTTTTGTGATGGCATTAGATCTACAGATAAATTGTGGGATAACTAACATCTTTACAATACTTGATATTTTAATCCATGAGCATCAGATATCCCTTCATTTGTTTAGATCCCACTTACTTTCTCTCAATAATGTTTTGTAGTGTTGTGTGTAGAGGCTTTATACATATTTTGATAGATTTATTCCTACATATTTGATGTTTGTGAACCGACTGCAAATGGCATAGCCTAAAATTTTTATTTTTTAATTGTTTATTGGTGGAATATTAAATTACAATTGATCTTTGCATATTGTTCTTAAAACTAGGCTTAGCTAAATTTATTAATTATAATAATATGACTTGATTCTTTTGGATTTTCTACGTATATAAGCAGGTTGCCTGTGACAAAAGGCAGTTTTGTTTATTTTAAATCCATCCTTCCTTCCTTTTTTCCCCCTCCCTTCCTCTCTTTTTTTGGTCACATTGCATTATCTAGGAACTTCACAGAGTTGAAGAGAAGTCGTGATTGGTAGACTCGTCATGTTCCTGAACTAAGCAAAAATGCATTCAGTATTTTACCATTAAGTTATGTTGTAACCTATAGAGTTTTTGTAGGTTATATCACTGCTTCTTCGAAAAGACAGGCAGTCTATCATCTTTTATTTATAGCTGATATTAGGATTTTTCTCTTTGCCTTGGTTTACAGCAGTTTTACTCTCTTGTGGCCAGTGTGATTTTCCTTTAATTTATCTAGCTGGGGATACATAATACTTCCTAAACCTGTTGCTTATGGCTTTCATCAGTTCTGGAAAATTCTCAGCCTTCAAATACTGCCTCTACCCCCTTTTTCCTTTATTCCTCCTCTGGTTCTCTGATGTTAGAATGTCTCCCCATGAGCCATATGTCCTCATGCTGTTTTCTGTACCCGTCAATTCTTTTTACTCAGTATGACTTAGTATGGATTTTTCTTTTATTTTTTTTTTAGATTTTATTTATTTATTGGTCAGAGAGAGAGAGGGGGGGTGCACAAGCAGGGGGAGTGGCAGGCAGAGGCAGAGGGAGAAGGAGGCTCCCCAGTGAGTAAGGAGCCCAATGAGGGACTTGATCCCGGGACTCTGGGATCATAACCTGAGCTGAAGGCAGACACTTAACCGAATGAGCCACTCAGATGTCCCTTAGTATGGATTTTTCTACTGACCTAGACTTCAGCTCATTAATTCTCTCTTTAGTTGTATCTAATCTGCTGTTAAAACAATCTATTGAGCACTTAATTTCAGTAGCGTTTTTCATATCTAGAATTTCAATTTGATTCTTTTTAATAGATTCTAGTTCTCTGGCAAAATTCTCTATCTTGTCGACTATTTTATTGAATGTATTGATCACAATTACTTAAATATCTGAAACTCCAGTATCTTTATCATCTTTGGGTCTACTTCTATTATTTTGTTTTTCTCATAGTCTGTTTCTCAACTGGTAATTTTTTTATTGAATTCTATATATCAAGAATGAAACATTATAGAGGCTGGGTTCTCTCCTCCCAGAGAGGACTCACCCACTCCTTCAGCCATTAGTGGAGGAGAGCAGATCACCTCAATCCTGTTAGGGACTGAACTGACCACAGCTGGTTAGCAATCTTTGTAAGGCTCAGACTACCTCTGCTTTGTCCTCACTTCTAGGGTACAGGCCTCCTGTTGTCTCACCTGACAGCCTGGGTTGCTTCCTAAGGTCCCCCTCCTTGGTAGACCCCAATTTTCATCTTTCCAACATCACAGACTGTCAAAAACTCTGCCTTGCCTTTCAGCCTCTATCCTTGTGCAGCTTTATCAAAAATTCATCAGAAGGAAAACTGTTGCCTAGATTTAGATTCTTTCTTCCGAGTTCCTCTTCTCTTGGGGATTTCAGTTCTTCAAGTCCTGGCTGTCTCGGCAGCCACAAACTCCAGTTTTTGTATTCCAGGCTCCAGAAGATTGCCGACAGCTCTGCTGTCTTCTCCTCTTGGCAGTCACTCTCAGGCTTTTTTTTTTTTTTTTTTTTGGTCTCTTGCTCTCCACCAGGAGTCACCTAATGCCCACAGGGGAGAAGCAATATGCAGGAAGTTGGGCTCAATTCAGTGGGCTTCCATTCTCTCCAGTATCTCGCTGTTCAAGTCTGATGCATTTGCAGCAATGAGATGCCTTTAAACAGATGTCTTTGTTCAAATATTCTATCTGCATTTCTAGTTGTTCTTGGTGGGAGCACTGATTTGCAACATGCTACTTCATCACAGCCAGAAGCAGAAGTGATTAAATAACTTTTTGATATTTATGAAGTTTCTACATTTGTCAGAACCTACTTATTTATATGGCTATGACTCTTAAGAGGATTACTTTTCAAAGTGAGCAAAAACATTTCTACCTTTTTCTTCTTAGATCTAGTTTTTGTCCTATTT